GGTAAAGGAAAACATCGTGAGGAAACCTGTATGTCTGAAAAATAAGAAAAAAAAATATTTCGAAGACATGTGAAGTTCACCAACACGCATTAGGGCAGCGCGGTGGACAATTACTTGCCCTAAAACCCTTTCAGAAATGAGTGGAGACCTGTGCCCAGCAGTGGAACATAAATACATAAGTGGGCTGCAACTTTTCGGCGACGACAGGAGATGAATTCAGTGACTTAGTGATTAAGATCGGAATATCAGTAAAATATTTGTCAAAAACTTTTGCAACGTCCTGATCTGATTCAGTTAATTTGTTGTTAAAACTTAACTGGTAGTTTGAATTGTGAGAGTTGATCTTACTGGTTTCGCTATTAATTATACTTCACGTCATTTTAATTTTATTAGAAGCCGTCTTAATTTTGTTACTCAAATGCAAAGACTTGGCTGTGGAGCACACTCTTTTAAATATTTTTGAACATTTTTTTACATATTCCCTAAATTCGACGCTACGATTATATGACCTTTCATCAGTACCGTCTTTAACATAAGGGCATACGGGGCCTGTGCCCAGGACCCCCACGTCACGGGGCTCCCGAAAGGCCAATATATTCGCTTACAATATACAATATTTTTTCTATTTTAGGTAAATATAACCCGACACTTTCCGTGACTTTCTGGAGACCCTGAGCAGTGACAAGCCACACATTGCCGAGTTTGACAGAAAAAGTGGCATTGACAGATTTCTTAGGTAGAAAATATGTACATAGGCTGCACTAAAAGTATCGGGAATGGAATATTTCCACTGTTCCTGTCATATTAAAATCTTTTTAATTGAAAACACCTTGGTTTTTAAAATTTAATACCATTTATTTATTTAAAAAAAGATTCTCGGTCTTGTCACAAGGTTTTGTCAAACTTGCTTAGTCGTTGAGAAAATGGAATTGACTCGAGAAAATTCAAGAGCGATGATTTATTATGACTTTCGAAGTGGTTTAACACAAAAACAGTGTGTTGACCGGATGATTTCTGCATTTGGTGATGAAGCCCCATCCAAAACCACAATTTATCGCTGGTTTGATGAATTTCAACGTGGACGTGTCAAGCTCAGTGATGATCCTCGTCAAGGTCGTCCAAAAACTGCAGTCACCCAAGAAAACGTTGATGCTGTGCGTAAGCTGATTGAGGAAGATCGACATGTGACATACCGCGAAATTCAAGCACCTTTAGACATTGGCATGAGTCAAATAAAAATAATCTTGCATGAACAATTAGGTGTAAAAAAAGTTGTTTTCCCAATGGATACCGCATTCGCTCTGTGAAGAGCAAAAAGTGGCTCGGGTTACTTGGTGCGTCAGAACTCTCGAAAGATTCCACGCAGGATCCTCAAATGCTGTATACAACATCGTATCAGGTGACGAATCCTGGATATATGCGTACGAACCCGAAACAAAAAACCAGTCACGAGTTTGGGTGTTCGAAAATGAGTTAAAGCCAACAAAAATTGTTCGTTCACGGAGTGTTGCAAAAAAAAATGGTGGCCACGTTTGTCTCCAAAACCGGCCATGTTACGACTATTCCTCTTGAGGGACAAAGAACGGTTAATGCAGAATGTATGCTAGCATTTGTTTGCCACAGGTCGTTTCTGAACTCCGTAAAGAGAACTGTAACCGCCGCATCATCCTCCATCAGGACAATGCGAGTTCTCACACCGCACACAGAACAAAAGAGTTTTTAGAGCATGAAAACATAGAATTATTAGACCATCCGCCGTACAGCCCCGACCTAAGCTCTAATGATATCTATACTTTCCCTAAAATAAAAAATAAATTGCGTGGACAGAGATTTTCATCACCTGAAGAAGCTGTGGACGCCTACAAAACGGCCATTTTGGAGACCCCAACTTCCGAATGGAATGGTTGCTTCAATGATTGGTTCCATCGTATGGAAAAATGTGTCAAATTTCGCGGAGACTACTTCGAAAAGCAATAAATACATTTTGAAATAGTAATGTTGTATCACTTTCTTGATTCCCGAAATTTTCAGCTCGTAGTTTCACGTTTCGCCGCCATTTAAACGTTTTCTTCGAGCTGTAAAATCGCCTTACTCACTGCCTGGATTTTTTTAAATTTTCGGCAATCTATGTATTTATATAATTACAGCTAAATAAATGTTGTTGGTTAAATTGATAAAAGGAAAAGACATGAATATAGGTAGTAGCTTAGCGAATTTTAATTGGACACCAGAACAGTTTTTTTAATCTTTTACCAAACAGTGAACATTTTAATAATTACTTATAAAAAATATTTAAAAAGTACCTACATAGAAGTCGATATTGTATTTATTTGAGGAATTTCCCGAAAGGTCAAACTTGTATGGTTCACTGTACAAGTTCTAAAACTTCTTCTTCTTAAGTAAACTTCAGTTTTTGGTGTGATTTTGTTTTGTTTCATAGAAATTATTTAAGATAATGAAAAATGTATCTCCTGATCGTGGTACGTATTGTGATGAAATTTTAACAGCAGAATTACGCGATATTTGGATTCGAAAAGGGCCATTATTTTTCCAAAATAAAAATGGTGACTTCTCCGAAACTTCTGCAAATTTTCCAGTTTTAAGCAGTGAAAAAAGCTAGATATTTAACTATAAATATTTTTACCCGTAAATTGATGAATGGCGAGTCTTTAGAAAGAAAATGGCTTCTTTATTCACTGTTGAAGAAATCTGTGTACTGCTATTGCTGCCGTCTATTTAATGCTACCACTGGTACTGGGCATAATTTGAGTTCTCCGAATGAATATAAAGATTGGAAGCATATAAGTAACTTATTAATTGGGCATGAGAACAGTTTACAGCACAGGCAATTAATGATTAATTGTGTCGCAAGAAGCAAGAATACTGGTAGAGTTGACAGTTAGTTACTGTCTCAATATAATACAGAAGTCAATTATTGGAAGAATGTACTAAGAAGAATTGTTGCAGCAGTGAAATTTTTAGCTTCTAGAGATCTTGCTTTTCGTGGTGATAATGAGATATTGGGGTTTCAAAATAACGGGAATTATTTAGGATGCCTAGAATTGATTAGTGAATTTGATCCTTTTCTTGCTGATCATATACGAAACTGCAGAAATCGTGGAAAAGGAAGAACCTACATCATATTTGTCTGCAAATATTTGGAATGAGTTTATTAATTTAATCGGACAGTTCAACTAATCTTCATCGTTAGATACGTAAAAGACAGAGAGCCTATTCACAGATTTTTGTAGTTTTTGCCTATGGATAAACATTGTTCAGAATGTATAGCAGATATCATTTCAAACTTTTTTAAAAGCCATGATATTTTTTTTCTGAATCTTTGTCCTCAATTGCAAGTAACATCAATCAACCAAGAGAAATAAGCAACGAAGCTCAAAGCCGAGCAAAATAAATGGAGAATTTCTCCTATACTTACTTTTAACGGAGATATGGAATGATTTTTTGGGAATTATGAACAAATCCAGCTTAAGTTTACAGAATAGCACTATGACTATGGACGTTGCAACAAAACTTTACGCATCTCTGATCGATTATGTCAATAACACACGCAATAATTTTGATCAGTACGAATCGATCGAAGCAAAAATCCAAAGGACTACTGACCATAAGAATAAAATATAAAGATAAGTATAATATAATAAAATATTAAGAATATAAAGATAAGTCTGAAAGAAAAAGAATTCGCAGCACTCGCGTTACTTTTTTGAAGGATTGTCTGAGACTGTACAGTTAAATGGCAAAGAAAAATTTCGTGTAGATACGTTTATTCCTTGTAATCGATACATTTTTTAGTTTTCTTTATCAATTAATAACAATCGATTCTGATGAGTTGACACAAAATGCAATGAATTTGAAGAATTCTATCATGAAGCCGTCATATGAGCTCAAATCAGAATCAGAAGCAAAAAAAAAAGAATGTTTTTAATTTGGGCAGTATTTAAAGAACATACCAAATGAATCTGTGGTTTTGAATATGTAAGGCTGAGTTACATAAACTAATAAAGGCTGATAAATTAGAAGGAACTATTCTTTTGCTTAATGGTTACCAATTGTAGTGGAGAGCGCTCATATTCACACCAAAAGAGAATAAAAAATTAATTACTAACAACTATGTTACAAGAACGACTAACAAATTAGTTAATAGTTATGAGTATATAAAGTGATTTCCTTCAAAAAATAGACTTTGAAGATATAATAGAAGATTTTGTACAACACAAATCCCGAAAGAAATCACTGTCGTAATGGTAACCAATTCAAAACACCAATATACTTAAGTAATTAATACCAATCAATTATCATAAATATAAGATGATATTGCAGAAAAATGTTTTTGTCATTCACTTTTTATACTTTCCAACAGGGCCCCAAATTCTTGTGTGCCCAAGGGCCCCGGTACTGCCTAAGACGGCGTTGCCTTTCATGGTAAAGATCATATAACTTTTGTCTGTTTTTATGGAGTCCTACTGTCGCCCGTTCATTGAATGTTAAACTGCTATTTTACGCTGGTATTCTGCACGTAGTAGAGTGCAAACATCATCTCACACCAACAAAGAAAGATAGACGGAGCGCTGCGTATATTTTGAGTGATGTCAAAGTCATGATTTATTATTGTAAGAAGACGTACTCACTGTCAAACGTAGTAACTATGGCAAATATTTCTCTACGAAGCAATCTTTGAGGTAGGCTTTTGTACAGCAGTAGACTTTTAATAGACTGTTATGAATGTACGAATAAATACAAATTATTTTTTCCCCCATGGGTGTCGTAAGAGTTGACTATGGACAATACCAAGAAGATAAGATGACAGAAGGCGATACATGAACATGGAACACTCGGGAATTATAAAAGTTAAAAATAAACGCGACAAAATCTGTAACATGAATTTGAACATAAAGTAGAACATTTGAATTTGGTTGGAGAAAAATGTTATACGTCTTAAAAATTAAGTATAAATAAAAGCAAGTCTAAATAAATCATACCTCCTGTTCTGCTAGCATGTCCTTCCCCTGGTCCAATGCCAATCTCATCTCCGCCCGAGGACTGAGCCGTTCCTCCGGCGATGGAAGTTTGGTTTCCTCCGGTTGGGTAGGCTCCGGGACTGATGGGGGCTCCGAAGCTGCTCAAATAAATAACAGACCGTCGTATTATATTAACTCAATGTACTGCAACATAATGTCTTTATAGGTTTCAAACTTTTTTCTTAGTAAACTCTTTATTAAGAACTATTTTATAATCTATTAATCATCCAATAAATTTTAAGGTTATAAAAAATCAAAGGTACTACTATTTTCTATAGAAAAATCGAATGTAACTACTCTCTGGTTACTTTTTAAGTGCCAGCTTCGATTCTCGTAAAATAAAATTTACAGAGTAATTTTATTTTACGAGAATCGAAATTAAAATATACAGAGTCATTTTTCAAAGAGTAGCCTAATTTTAAACTTAAGTTGAAATAAATAAATAATAATATACATACCGTTATTGCAGTTTTTGAAAATACGAGCAAATAAGGGTTCTACTTTTATTTGAAATTATCCCAATCTTTTATTGAATGTGCTTTATGGACATCAACGTTTTTGCCTACCGATCGACCCTTACGAATGTGTGCGTGCGCAGTAAAATCGGTTAAAATAATGCACTACCACGCTTTTTTACAATAAAATGATTTTTTTATGTTAATCAATATTTTCTTATTTTAAACTCACTTGAAAATTATTTTCTATTTTTAGTTGTGTTATCTAGGAAAGCGTGTTTGTTTAGTTTTTTAAACTATTATTTATTTTCTATATTTTAATGCGGCTGACTACAAAAGCGTGTTTTTTTTTAAACGAACTTCTTTTGCGCGTCTTACAGTAGATTGATCTGGCAAAAATCGTAGTTGTTTTATGAGTTATTCGCAAATCCTGAGGATCCTGGCATTGGGAAAAACTATTTAAATTATTGCATTGTCACCGGCCCTTGTTAAGTGTGCGAAGTTTCAAATCAATCCGACGTTTTGAAGGGGATGAAAATCACATTCCAAAATTCCGTTACATAGATGAATACCAAGCTAATAAAAGTGTGTTAAAAAGGACAGAATGTTTGAGTCTTTTTTTTTTTATTAATTTTTTCACCATTTGGCTATATTACTTATTCCTTGAAGCTCCTCTGCAAATTGGCCGGTTATTGCAAAATAACCCTGTATAGGTGACTGCTACTCAAAAACAGTAAAAGAAATGTTTGTTGTGGTTACATATATATATATATATATATATATATATATATATATATATATATATATATATATATATATATATATATATATATATATATATATATATATTATATTATATATATATATATATATATATATATATATATATATATATATATATGTAACCATACATATATATATATATTATAACTGGTAAACCATCACGTACACATCGGCATCGTGTTCAAATTCATCCTTCATGAAGATCTCGATTTGAAGATTCGGGGGTTTATTGTCTTACTGCGTTGCAATTTGTAAATTCATAGGCGTGAAGGTGCTCAACTGACCTGGTGACAGCTGATAATGGGGCGTGGGATTGTGGATGGTGGTACGTTCGAGTGTGGAGGGCGTGCTGGCCGAGCTGGCTGAGCCCCGACGACCGCCAACAAACGCACCGGCTCGTTCCGCACATTCTTTTGAAACTAAGTAAAGATAAGAAAAGGTAACATTGGATACATGTAGCCTACTATAGTATAGGACATCTTGAGTATACAGTGCAACTCTAAGTATATAATAAAGGGCCACAGTGTATCTAGGGGCTATGATGCGGTCGGTGATTCCCCTGTAAATGTTAGAGCTCTAGTAGCAGTAGGACCCGAGCCTACGAGCATTATTACACTCCTCTTCGGGTATGTATGATCAGTAGTGACAATCGTGCCAAATATCAACATGTAATAATTCTAATTCAACACAATTTCTATGTTATCTACACTAAATATAGGTAGGATAAAAGCTCTAATCAGTCTTATTTTATTTTTGTCAAATATCAAATTATAATATCCCCTGTGCACAGCCTGCATGGTATGCGAGGAAAGAGCAGCCCATATTCTACTTGACTAATCAGTGGTTGCCATTTACTTATAGAACTAAGTACCTTGGACGATCAAGGTTGCTCTACGAGGTCATCGGTAACGTTTGCGTTTGGAGTTTGGGCTGTTCAAATAATATATTATAATTTCTGCCCTCACGAAAAATATGCGCTTAGACGTAGAGTCACGTATCAGTCCGGCTCAATCAATCAATCAATAAAACAAACAAACAGAAAATCGTTTCGTTTAATATTAATATATCTTAGGGCTAATTTTTCAATTGCCACATAAAAAAATTCATAAAATGAAATACAACATAAACAAATTAAAAGTTAAAATTGTACGAAATAGTTAATTCAATTGTTTCACTTTTATATTAATTTAGGTTATAATTTATTTGATTGAAAAATCTTTTATCCCAGGACTGAAAAATCAATTCTAAAGAACTATAGCGAACAATACTTGTATATGCATGTAATTGATATTTCGGCAACGGTCTGACAACTATTTTAGTCAAATTTTATTTAGATAGATGTCATCACTTAGAATTTTTTTTCTAACGTCTTAGCAAATCTCTGTCGTCCAGGTACTTAGGACATTAATCAAAATAAGATGGTATAATTCATCTACTTAAGTTGAAGCCTTTTGTTGGGCATTTTATTTCACCTTTGGCAGTAGCCGATTTCAAAGCCGAAGGTTTAACCGTAAGCAAATTTTAATACAAATTCTGTAGTATTTTTTGTATACTCTCTATTTTATAACGATGGTGATGATGATGATGTATTATGTAGTGGTGGCTTAAGAGAATCTATCACCTCATATCATCTCGTGGGTGTCGTAAAAGACGACGGAAAATGTCGGAAAGATCACACTGCCGCCGATTCGTGGCAATATAATCATCTTGTATAAATCAGATGTAAGATGTACCGACCATCCGAACTGGAAACAGCTTCAAAGGTATACGATATCTGACAATTTGATCGACAATCAGCCGGCCAGGGCAATGGACCATGCCCAGCAGTGATCTGCACGGAGAAGAAGAGACATCATATGTTTATAGTTTATAGTATTTTTCTAGCTTCCTTTATTTACCAGATTGTAAGGGCGTCGAGGGCACTTCGTTGGTTGGTGTCCGATCTGGGCTCAGTTCTGACTCGGCGACACAATTTTCCTCCCCTCCAGCATTCGGTGCGTCGCCCGCACCCCCGTCCTCTGCTACTGTTGAGATTTTAGCTTTAACCGAATTTGTTTTGTCACATTATATTTGTTTCTTGCTATGAAATTTAAAAATACCTACCTATATAACTGATTAAAATTAAAGATTATTAAAACTAGATTAAATCGGTTTACGAAATGTAAAAAACATTTAACAAAATTTATTTACTAAAATCTATTTTAGGTTAGTTGCAATACCTATAATGATAAAACAACAAATAAGGTGTTTACTGGTGATTATGCATAGCCTGCTGACAAGTCCATGCTGGGCTGACAAAAAATAAGGTAAAGGATTGACAACATCAAACAAATAATGCCGCAGCTGTTAGAATGGGTGATCTTTAAAAGACGTAAATCATGCATGCTTCGTGCCAGTTACAATTTAACGTAATGGTTCCATTTATAAATTGGTTCCATTTTTAAATTGGACTTCTGTTTTTTTTTTATTTTACCTAACACTTATTTAATTTAGCTGCAACTGCCAAAAAATATATAGTTCAATTTCAACTTATTTTTAATTGAAACTTCAATTATTTTTAAATGATGATTATTTTGATGATTTTGCGTTTATTTTTTTAAAGAAGTAGCGAGCACACATTCCACTTGATGGTAAGTGGGTGCTGTGATTCACAGATTGAAAACATGAATCAAAAAGCAGAATGCGTGCCACCTTCAAGGACTAAGAAAGAATGCCTCTGTATCAGTTAAAAGGGTACAATTTTAAGTTAATGTTATTGATGTGCCCAAGTAATTAGTGAAGCTATAAAGTATTGTTTGATCTGTGATTTTGTGATAACTCACCTGGCCCTGAAGCAGAGGACGGCAGGCGCGGCGCGTCGCAACAGTCGTCAGCACCCAGGCCACGCCCGCTGCCCTGCGCCAAGCGCCGCACCAGCGGACCAGTCACAATGTGAGACATAACCTAGCTACGGTCTACACCTCAAAGCGATTTGCCAATGAAGATGACGATATCCTCCAAGCCGTTGAACAGAGTGACTCTTTTGATAATAGTCAACAGAAACGTCCACGTAGAATTTTATAGAGAAAGTTTGTTAAGTACCAATGCGTTCTTATTTTCATCATATCATGTACATGCATTAATGCATGTATTGATTAAGCCTAAGATTAAGATTTAAAAATTAAGTTGATGCGATTATATTACGGATAAAAGATGATCACAAAATATCAATTGGAGAGGAGTTTGATATGCTAAAATAAAAAATAAACACTCGGAATATGGGCAATTGAATTTTGATTGTTCTACAATTTAACCACGTTGCTTTTCAACCACGTTGAAAGATTTGAGTCTCTTTGGATGGATATTTAAAAATACATGATGTTTATGCGATTGTGCGTTAGCTTCAACTTGTAACAGCTACTTTAGTTTTTAGTTCTGTAAATAAAACACCGCAATACCAAGTCGAACAATACAATTCAGACTGACGTTATGCAGGTCTCATGCAACGGTCATGCTTTCATATTTTGCGGGTAGGGTTAACACCATGCTATGTTTGTATTTATACATTGATGTATTATTTCCACCAATTACTTCGTTACTCTACCGAAATTTTAAGCGTTTGTTCATCCACTATGTAATCGTTAGTAAAAATGTTGATAACCAACATGGGAAACTAAAAGTTATGACAAATATTACAAACTTTTCTGTACTCATAACTATTATATAACAGTAATCTAAATTTTTTTGTCTTATTTACTTATCTACGCAGTTTCAGTTTCTTTTGTGAATTAATGACTTTAGCAGTTATTTCTCAAGATTGTTAAAGATATTCACCTGGTCATCAGAATTGGTAGGAGTAGCCTTGTTATCTTCGCTGTCACTTTCCGAGCATTCTTCTTCAAGCAACGGCTCCAGTCTTCGCCTAAAAACATCCCTACGTTCCACATTAACGTTAGTCAGTTTGTGTAGAGTCTGATTTCGTCTTATTAAATATACTAAGCACATAAGCTAAGAACTGTATACATTGCAAATGTAAGAAATTTCAAGCGAAAACTGGACGTAATTACGCAAAAAGGATCTAACCTACAGAAAGCTACTTTTAAGATATTGACGTTTGAATTTTTATCGCTATATACAATGGTCACTATTTTCTCTGATTAATAAGTCTTCTTAATATTGATTTCAACTTTTGATAAAAATATTTTATCCCATTGAAATATACAGGATTATTTTTCAAAGAGTAGCCAAATTTTAAACTTAAGTTCAAATATATAAATAATGGTAATTTATTTTTTTTAATTTTTAAAATACGGGTAAATAAGGTTTCTACTTTTATTCGAAATTATCCCAAATTGAATGTGATTTATGGGTGACAAAGTTTTTGCCTTCCGATCGAACCTTACGAATGTGCGTACGCAGTAAAATAAGTTGAAATAATGCATTTCCATGTATTTTGAATTTAAAAGACAAAAAGGACAGATTGTGTGAAATTTTTTTAAATTATTTTTTCTTCACAATTTGCCTATATTACTTATTCTGAACGTTCTCTGCATATTTGGCCGGTTATTGCAAAATAATCCAGTATATGATCAGATCATAAGGACTATTTTGACATGACATTACTCAAAGGTGATCCGGATTTAGTTTGGATCGTTGCGTAGCTACGTCTAATTATTGGGGAAAATAGTGCATGGTATCATGCAAAAAGTTGTGATGAAGTAAGCAGAATATAAAAAGCAAAAATTAAAGTTGCTAAGAAGCAGTACAAGTATAAATTTAAAACCATATGTTATTATTACCTGGGCAATAGTGGCCGTAACGTTGTGGGCCCCGTTATAGTTGGCGCCATCAGAAGCTCATCCATCATCAGCTCCGTATCGTCGTCACCAGCGTACGATGATGACGACTTTGTTGGCGACTGCAATGGTAAAGTTTCTGTTCATACGATTTTAACATATGAACATGAATATAAGATTAGATTTATGAAAAAAAAATGAAAAAAAAAACATGATTAAAGTAATAACAACAAAAATAATCAATCGAACCAATTTGTCACGAGGATGTTGTTGAGGGTGAATTTTTATAGATAAGTAACAAACAAGCACACACTCTACTTGACCGTAAGTAAGATGAGATGCTGTGGCCCATATGCCATTATCTACCATCAATTATGAATGAAAATGCAATAGACTGATAACCACGAGAACTAACATTGTTGCATGGATCTCTCGTTATGAGAAAAAAGGGTCTCCGGCTCTTTCTTTTCTTTATTCTGCTATTTCTCGCTAGTATTCCGATAGAGCGTGGTGCTTTTCTAGCCGATCCGACCCATTCACTGCAACATGGATCTACCAGGGCTTCGTCAACTAAGAAAAATGCCATAAAGATCTCATAACATTCGATAGCATATTACGAGTATGTCATGGAAAATAGAAATTATTTCACACACAGGTGGGCCTATGGTTAATTTGCCGTAGTAAAACAGTTTCCTGGCCTTCCACGACACTGAATATCGAACTTTGATTTAGTTTCATTGATTAAGTTTAGCTTAATTGAATGTTAGATAATGCAATTTAAAATTTCACTCTCATTATTATATGATATTTATAATAATAACATAAAAACTTAAATTAAAATTATCATAATATCCACCAAAACGCTGGCTGCGTTTAACATCTGGATGACTGACGATCCACCACTGTGCGATTTACTAGAAGTTTTCTTCCTGGAACAACTTCTTCGTGGAATCGAATATCACCAGTGCTTTTTCCGGATAGATACGATTTAGGGACCATTAAAAAAAGAGCCTGCTCTTTTTTATAGACCGGCAACGCATCCGTAATTCCATTGGTGTTGCATTTATTCATGGGCGTTGGTAGTCACTTACTACCAGGTGAGCTGGATGCTCGTTTCCTGCTATATCTATAAAAAAAAGTTGTACTATTTTTTCTAACCGATAAGGTTCCATGATCGGAATCAGGCAGATTATCTGATAGGTCTCCTGAAGACGGCGTGCCCCAAGCTTCCTCCCCACTTGCTCCACTCCCTTCTCCAGTTTCTCCAGTGCCGTCTTCTGTCCCTAACGTAGACTTCCAATCACTCACTCCTAAACACCTGTTATATTCAAACAATTTTAATGTTTCAATTAAAAATTACAAATATAAAAAAATAAAAACTACAAATTCCAATATTCTATGACATATAATTTTATCTAGCTATTTAATATGTATCTGATGATTTACAGTCAAGATGATTTTATTAAATAAGTATTATATAAAATATTTGGCTAAGAACTATTTAAAAGGTCTATGTAAAAATCTATCCTAGCTAGCCTATTAAGTTTCAATTTTTATTAACTATAAGCTTCTATGTAATATAACTATAGTCTCTATTGTCATAAAAACAATATATTGCACTATGGTTAAAATAATATTTGAGTACTAAATATTTCGAATATTAATTTAATATTAAAACAAAGGTGTAAAGTAAACAGTACTTTAATAAAAGGGCTAAGATATTGTTAAGGACTTCATTGTGTCATTTCGATATCATAAATTTTAGAACTGGTTACAAAAAAAAAAAAATAGAAAAGTGTAAAATGTAAACCTATTTAATAATTAATGTAATAATAAGAGGTTTAGCATAATATGTCCACCTTAAGGGAATTGCATTAACTTTTGAAAAAAATGATACAATCATTTATTTATTTTACTATGCTGAATTAAGTATTAATTATTAATTAATGTTTTATTAATTATTAATTAATTTTTAAATTATTAATTAATATATTAATAATAAATGATTTCTTATATTTACGCGAACACTACTCATTGAATGAAACTACTTTTACGGATTAGATAGATGTGTATAGAAAAAGGACCCATACAAACCGATATTTACAAGGTGAATCCCACCATCATCCTTCACTGTTAGCTACCGTGGGCAAATCTTTGTTACAGAGAGCACGAGGGATCTATGACAGCAAACCCCTGGCCGCCGAGCTTCGGCACGTCAAGCAGGTTCTGCACGACAACAAGCTTCGGGTCCCGCACTTACGTCACAGTGACCGAGTGAAGCCGGCCACGGTCGAGTGTGTGCCTGCTGTACTACCATATGTCAGAGGTATCACAGACAAGATTGGCTTCATCGTGAAGCGAGCTTCTATTAGAACATTCTTCAAGACGCCGAAGAAGATTAATCAGTTCTTACCATCCGTCATGTGCAATATCCCTCTACAAGAAGCAGGAGTGTACAAGCTTGATTGTGAATGTGGTCTCTCATATATAGAGCAAGCAAAACGATCATCAAAACCCGCGTTAAAGAACACATAACTGACCACCACAAACACCAACGTTTCGGGAAGTCTGCAGTTTGTGATCAAATCCTAGATGGCCCCCGCCATTACATTAGATTTGATTAACCACAAATTCTCGCAAAAGAACATTGCTTCCTGCCAAGGATGATACGCGAGGCTGTTCAAATTAAAAGACATCCTAATATCAATAGAGAGGGAGACTGGGTACTAAAACCTGCTTCGGATCCTGTAATTAATAAAATTAAAACTAAACCCAAGCATACCACTGCTAGACTTCAAGACACAGTAAGTTCATTCTGCGTAGATTGGATCAAAACTAATAATTAAAAAAGCTGAAGGTACTCCGGGTTAACTCTGACATCGGAACGTCAATTACCTCAGTCCCCCGTGACCATGGGTCCTGTAAAGCACCCGCAACATCGGGAATTTAATAAAAATAAGTAAATTAAAGGCGAAAGAATCCGTAAAAGTAGTTTTATTCAATATTAATAATTAATAAGTTAATGTTGATTATTAATTAATTATAAATTAAGTATTAATTAATGCATTTACCCTTAAAATAATGTAAATGTATTTTCATAATTAAAGCTACGGGCACACTCAAAAGTATTAAATTATAATTTTGTAGTTTTATTCATACTTATCGCGTTTTATTTTCTTGAGTCGTTTTCCACCTAAGATGTAAAAGGTAAAAATATATTATAAAATGAATCCTTCAAATAAATATAAAAAGGTTTTATTGGGTTAAGGCATAATAATGCTAGGTCGCATTAAGCAGTAAATAATACAAGCTATAGTAATAAACTTTTTTTGCAGTGTCTAAACTAATGATGATAGTAAAATTTTATTTTGAATTATTAAAGACTTTGGTTCTTTACTGGGTCTTACAGAAGCAGTAGAATATTATATTCGAAGGGTTACTTAAACAAATATCTGCGCAATACTCATTTGAATGGTAAAATGAGTGATTGCGCTATTCCTTCGTCAGTTCTCGTCGTTCCGAAATTATTACAAACGTATTTTTTGTACAAGTAATATCAACAACAGTAGGCTATGGTGCGACTGGGATTACCCTTGAGCCACCCCTAAGTCGTACAATACAATACAGATCATTTTATTTTATCCAATTAATTATTTGACATAGAATTTGAGTATTAGGGACTGTTAAAATGCTAACCAAACATAATTTTTTGAAGGCCTTATTTTGAACTTTAACAGGGTTATTTCGCAACAACTGGCCAAATTTTCAGAGAAGGTTCAGAATAAGTAATACAGTATACAGTAAAGGCAAATGGTAAAGAAAAATTAATTAAAACATCTCAAATACTGTATCCTTTTTATCTTTTATATTCAAAACGCACGCACACATTCTTAAGGGTCGATCGGTAGGCAAAAACTTTGTTGCCCATAAATCACCTTCAATTTGGGATAATTTCAAATAAAAGTAGAAGCCTTATTTACTCGTATTTTAAAAAACTGGAATTACGATATATCATTATTTATATATTTGAACTTAAGTTTAAAATTTGGCTACTCATTGAAAAATAACCCTGTATAATTTTATCTAAACCTTATTCTGTTTAAATTTAATCCAAAGCGTGTATTAACATTAAGCTTGACAGGTACATAACTAAATTTATTGATTATTTTTTTAGAAAGAAAACACTCGCCATTATTATCACTATAATCAGGTGTAGTAAAATGTTTTTAAAAATAAAAATTCACAGTAACAGAAAGGGGATTTGAGGAAGAGAGGGAGAGAGAAAGAGAGAAGGAAATAAAGTAAGAGGAAAAGGACAACCTACCTTTCCAAGAAAGAAGGTTGCTTATGTGCAATCGATGTATTAGGAACACTCTCCGTGTAACTAAAAATGTTCATTTTTTCCACAACGAACGATCCAGCCCTTGCTGTCCATCCCATTATACCACCAGTCCCACCAGACACATCTGTGTTTGTTGCTGAAACTAAAAGAAATGTGTTCAACCTTCCGAAATAATTATTAAAACAAGGCAGTGGTGCCGTAAGGTAAGCCATACGCGATCCAGTTTACCGTCACGTTTGCAGTACATCCATATAGACCACTCACGTTCAAGTTCACCATCTAGTTTGCATGATGCAGCACCAGTTAAAACCATGGCATCACCAGTAACGGACGACGCCGCGTTAGGTATCCTAGACTTATTACTCCGATTAAAGTCAGATGTATACTTGACCGCACATACACACGTTCAAGTTGATCATGACATTACATGACGCTGCAATCTTGATCAAGTCCGCAGAATCGAAATACAATTTTGCATCAAATGAACTTATCATGCACACTGATAGCCATACACCGTACAGTTTACCGGACGCCGCTTCAAGCGCGCTGCAAACTTGACAGTAAACTGGATCGTGTATGTCATAGATAGGAGGTGCTTTTAAGTTTTTCATTATAATGTATGCTTATTATTGTTTTGAAATGGTAACATGCATGATATGAATTCTCTGCCTAGCGTGGTAATAATGGCACATATCCCTCCTGCGACTCAGTCTTTATTTAATTGAACTTTCAATAAGCTGTAATGAATGAATTTTACGTTGTGTGCTGTATGTACTAAAGACGAGGAATACGATTAAGTCTGTAACCGTGAAGGAAGTTCAAGTCCAGCTATGAACTATTTATGTTCTGATGGCGAAGAAGAAAAATAACAATGTTTACAAAAACTTTAGAATATTTTCGACTAAACTTATTATTATACAGGAGTTCCCAAAATTTTGCAGTTCACGGCGTACTCAGAGATATACTATTTTATCACGGCGCTCTTATCAAAATATGTGTGAAATAACATGTGAATGACACCACACTTTGTATCAATCCTGTAAACTTGCTGTTTTTGATTGTTGATTGACACATAGTTTTATCAAAATGCGGAATAAGACTTGATACACTGCAACTCTCATTTCTATAAACTTAAAAGTTGAATATTCATTTTTGAACAATATTTCATTCATTCATTCATTCATTACAGCCCTTCACGAGTCCACTGCTGAACATAGGCCTCCCCCAAAGAATGCCACAAAGCACGGTCCTGAGCCACCTGCATCCATCGACTTCCTGCATGTCTTACCAGGTCGTCACTCCATCTCGTGGGGGGACGCCCTACACTTCGCCTATCGGTACGAGGCTGCCACTCGAGAACCTTTCTTCCCCATCGGTTGTCGGTTCTTCGAGCTATATGGCCGGCCCACTGCCACTTGAGCTTACTAATCCGTTGGGCTATGTCGGTTACTCTGGTTCTACTGCGGATATCCTCATTCCTAAGTTTATCACGCAGAGAAACTCCGAGCATAGCCCTCTCCATAGCTCGCTGAGCGACCTTGAGCTTCCTCATACGGCCAGCAGTGAAGGACCACGTCTCAGTTCCATAAGTCATCACTGGTTGTACAATTTCGTTTTCAGGTTTTGAGGTATGTCTGACGAGAAGATGTGTCGTAGCTTCCCGAACGCTGCCCAGCCGAGTTGAATCCGTCGATTGACCTCTCGGTCGAAGTTGGACTTACCTAGTCGGACTATTTGTCCCAGGTAAACATACACGTCAACAACTTCGAGCTTAGTGCTCCCAACAACTACCGGCATAGGTGTGACATGGACATTGAACATGATCTTTGTTTTGTCCATGTTCATCTTAAGACCTATCCGTTGGGAAACACTATCGAGGTCATTGAGCATAGTGCTTAGGTCCTCCAGCGATTCTGCCATAAGGACTATATCGTCGGCAAATCGAAGGTGAGTGATGTACTCGCCATTGATGTTGATACCGTATCCTTTCCAGTCCAGAAGCTTGAAAACGTCTTCCAATGCAGCGGTGAAGAGTTTCGGGGATATGACGTCACCCTGTCTTACACCTCTCTGCAATTGGATAGGTTTCGTACTCTGGTTCTGTACTCGGATAGCCATCGTAGCCCTACTGTACAAGCACTTCAACACTTCGATATACCGACAGTCCACTTGGCACCGCTGAAGGGACTGCAGCACCGCCCAAATTTCGACGGAATCAAAGGCTTTCTCATAGTCCACATACGCCAGACATAGTGGCAAATTGTACTCTTCGGACTTCTGTACAATTTGCCGAAGGGTATGTATGTGGTCTATGGTGCTAAAGCCCTTTCGGAAACCGGCTTGTTCAGGAGGCTGGAAGTCGTCAAGTCTGCGCGCGAGACGATTCGTAATGACTCTCGAAAACAGCACGTAGACGCGGCTCAGAAGGGAAATCGGTCTGTAGTTCTTCAAGAGAGCGTTGTCACCTTTCTTGAAGAACAAGACCACCGCACTTCTGCTCCACGCCTCCGGTGTAATACCACCATGGAGGACGGAATTAAAGAGCTTCTGAAGGACTTCAAGTACCGGTCTTCCACCCGCTTTCAGAAGCTCCGCTGTAATTCCATCGTCGCCTGGGGCCTTACCGTTTTTAAGGTGTTGGAGAGCCATTCTAATCTCGCTCAGACTGACGTCCGGGATATCTTCGGAATAGTGTTGGATGAGACTCGCTCTTGGATCGTTACTCACACTTGCGTGTGGCTCCAACGATGACGTGTACAGCTGCCCATAGAACCTCTCAATCTCACTCAAAATCTCAGGTGTCCCGGAAACGATGCTGCCACATTCTGTCTTCAGCTTTGACAGGTGGCTCTTTCTGGCAGACAGATCTCTGGCAAAGACTTTGGAGCCTTGGTTCCGCTCGATCGCTTCTTCAATACGAGCTGTATTGAAGTTGCGTAAGTCCCGCCGCATGTATTTGGAGATCTGTCTGTTCAGATGCCTGTATGCTGTCAAGTCTGTTGAAGAATGTAGCTTCATCTCCCGTCTAACAGCCATGAGATTAAGAGTGTGATCGGAGAGTTTTTGTGTTCTTCTGCGGCGGGTCTTGCAGAACTTAGCTCCGACCGCATGGACAGTTTCCACGAGCTTATCATTCATATCGTCCACTTCATTGCAGTCTTCTAGGCACTGAAAACGGTTTTGTAACTCGAGCTGAAAGGTTTCGGGACTTTGGAACAGAGCACGAGGGGGACGGAGCGTTGACTTCATTAGACGAGACCTCTCCAACTTAACGTTTAGGTTCAGTGTGCCTCTAACCATTCGGTGATCGCTACCAGTTTTCACCCTCGCGATCACGGAGACATCACTGAACAGTTGTCGTCTGGTCGTCATAATGAAGTCAATCTCATTTTTTGTCGAACCGTCAGGGCTCGACCAGGTCCACTTCCTGTGGGGCCGCTTCTGGAAGAAAGAGTTCATCATAAAGAGTCCCTCTTTCTCCATGAAGTCGGCCAGCTGCTGGCCCCTTGGGTTCCGTTGCCCTATTCCAAATTTCCCTACTTTCAGCTCACCGTTCTCTCTTGTGCCTAGTTTTGCATTGAAGTCTCCCATTAACACCGTATATTGGGTTTTGGAGGAATGCATGGCTCTAGAGATATCCTCATACATTTCCTCCACCTCCCCATCGGGGTGTGCCGAGGTTGGTGCGTAAACCTGTATGACCTTCAGCGAATACCGTTTGGTGATTCTGAGTATAAGGTACGCAACCCTCGTCGACACACTCCCGATCTTTACAACGTTGTTAACGAGAGACTTGTGGACGATAAATCCGACACCTCCTTGGGACAGATGGTCGCCCTCCCGGTGATAGAGCAAGTTGCCGGATTCGAGGATTACCGTGTCCTCCCCCTCTCTTCGGACTTCGGATAATCCTATAATATGCCAGCGCAACTTGTCTATCTCTTCTTCCAGCTCCACGATCTTCTCGTCAGTCCTCAGGGTGCGTGCGTTGTACGTTGCCAGGTCGAGTCGTCTAAGGTGGCAACCGAACCTCCACCGGAGATTCTTAGCACCCCCTGCCCCGCCGTTACCATGGTCGCCACCGTAGCCAGGAAAAGCGGGGCCGCCGGGGACTGGGGGCCGTCTCTTTGTTACATTCATAGGGGGGTATTTGCCATAGTTGCCACGCTTGGCGAGCGGGTTGGCAACCGCAGTTTTTTTATTGTAATTTTGGCTATTATCAGGAAGATGCTGCTGCCCATCTCCTGCCTGTTTCCCTTTGTCGCCTTTTACGACACCCACGGGAGGATATGGGGTAGTGGTATTCTTGACCGCCACTACACGGGCAATAATAATAATATAAATATAAATAATAAACAATATTTAACTTCACGAAATTGAAACAAGCAAGTTTTACTCAGACTATCGTTGCAAAAGAGTTTTACTTACACCCTACGGCGCTCTAGGGCGCCTCGACGCACACTTTGGTAACCCCGGATTTATACATTACAAAAGTTAATACCGTTTTAAATTGGTAAAGGTAATAGCAGAAGTAAAAAAAGGATAATTGAGTTTGTGTAAGATTTCTTTTCAGTCAATTCTATTAAATAAGGCTTGCAAATGAAGTCTTTCAATAGAAAATTTGTTAACAGGAACAATCAGAACATCTTCACATAGATGTGTGGGAAATATCGCAAGATTGATAAAATCAATCAGCTTATTATACAACGGACGTATCTTGTACACTCGGAATTAAGAGTAATTATTATTATTAAAGACGTACCTGAATTGTGTTGTTTCGGTAATTCGGGTTCTTGTGTAGTCAGTCTTACATTACCATCATCAGTCTCATCGGATGGAAGCCTCTCTAGGCTTGACATAGTGCCGTATCTAAAATAAATAATGGAAGCAATTTACTTAAACAATTACTAAATTTCTTTTAACTTTTAAATTGTTATATTTTTTAAATAAGTAATTATTTTTGTTATTCTATTTATACACCGATTAGTCTAAATTAGTTCAACTGAAAGTTTTTTATTACTTATATCATGTTTACAGCCCATCACAAAATCACTGCTGAATGTAGGACTCCACTACAGATTGGTACAAAGCTCGGTAGAGTGCCAACTGTACCTATCGCAACCCTGCGAGTTCCAAAAGATCGTCCCTCTATCTAGTATCATTCAAAATGCATTGCGCTTCCCAGTACGTGGTTGCCACTTGAGAACCTTTCAAAATGTCCGACCGAATGCCTGTTACATAATATATTTAATAGGTGATAATATAAAATTTACTTGATTAATCTAGATGTGATTAATGTAGCTGTGTCTCGGATGCGGTTGAAATGCGCCCGTACTTTTTCTTAATTTAATTACTCAATGGACCCGCTGACTTATTTTTCTTATTCAAGAAATCACGACAACACAAGAAATAAAAGATCGTCATCAATAGTAATGTCGGTATGAGAAAAAATTGTCAGCCCAGTTGTCATAATATTATTTATTTCAAAAACGTCATAATTATATTGGTGTAATGTTGAGGCGCATTTTGAACATTAGGAAATAGTATGAACCGACCAACAGGATAGATACATACACTACGTCAATATAAAACCAGCTTCAGCTATTGGGCCTTTTAGTATTGTGTATTATTTATGAATGCAGTCAGTTAAAATAATAATTTATTCATATTCCAATACAAACCTTTTCAAAGTAACGTACGGGAGGTCTTCGGGTGCATCTGGAGAATCAGGAGAATCATCCATAAAACCATCCTACAAATAAGTATTCAAAATTAATAAAAAATAATCAACTATTTCAAAATATTTTATAATAATAAAAAATATTTAACGAGCTTACAGTCTTATTAGTTGTGATATATTCAGGTGTTGGTGGAACTATTGCAATATTAGGCACGGGGGATTCTGACTTCACTGAACATAGGCTTGCTGGTCTCGAATGAACATTATTCATACCTATATCTGAATTTCTTTTAAATGGTTCTACTCGCATAAGATGGGCAGCGGGGTTTATTGCAGAAAGACCCATTAACATTAATGGACCCAATTCTAAGTCTTCGTCAGATAGCGCATCATTCGCATTTACGTGTGCGTTAAAGTGTTCACTTCTATCAGTATTTTTATTTATATCCCCGTTCATTTTGCCTACAGCAGCTATACCCATCCTAGGTGATCTTTTGAGACCTCTTTCTATTTTAAAATCGTTGTCATCTTCATGTATTGAGTCATCGTCTAAGAAAACCGATGAAGATTTTAGACACGTCCCGATATTTTCTCGTTTAGCAATAACATTCATTCCTAATACTTTACTAAGAACATTTTCAGCTTTTTGTCTTGTTACTTGCTCTTTCTTGATTGACGCCGGAGATGAACAATTAGACAAAGATGATTTTGGTTTGCATAACGTAATGCTTTCCACGCATTTAACTTCATTAATATACTTTTCTTGTGCTATTACACATTGGACTTGATTATCAATGTTAGAATTAGAAGTTCGAAGATCATTTGAACTTGAATTAAATACCATTGAACTACAAGTCGTGTGACTAGTTGAAAGCGGACTATTTCTGCTACTAGACGTTGGGCTAGGAGACATAATTGAATTGTCTTTTCTAAGTTCCAGACGACTTTTCGTGCGACTTCTAGTCATCTTATTGTTTAGTATTGGCGAGTCAGTTTTAAGATCATACGATGTAGATTTCAACATTTTCTGACTTTGTTCTATAGAGTCTATTACTTTTAAGGCAGCATCTTCAGGACGTAACTTAATAGCACCTTTACGTTCTAAGTGGCAAATAAACTTTTGCTTACGATTATCACATTTAGCACTACATTTGCTGTTAGAACTTTTATTTGATGTGGATATCTGGGGTGAAGCATCATTTTTGGCCTTTGGCGGAGTAGGTGGTTCTTTTTGGGATACTAAAGGACTATTTGGCTTAGAGAGACACTTTTTGTGACATTGTCTGCAGACTGGTATAGTGTCAACAACCACAGGACTGGTTCGTACTGTTATCTGAAGAAAAAAATACATTGTAAGTAATTTACTCATAACGTCAGAGTTGGGTAAAATTTTTGGTATGAATATTTTTATGTAATAAATAATTTCTTTAAATGCAATTTAACTATTGACTTACTTGGCTACCAGAGTTACTGCTCTTCGAAGGACTTCGATCATTTTCTTTTTTTTCGGGCGGTGAATCTTTGGCTTCACTGTTCTTGGTAATAAGATCTGCTACTTCGAGTAGATTTAGCTCTCTAGATCTCTTTCTTAATTCTTCTATACTCCACATCTGTGGAATTGGATGAAAGAGACCTTTTCTTAACATTTGAACCTTTAAAAAAAAACAAAAAGAAAGAACTTTATAATAATAATAATAGTATACCTCCATTTCAGGCTCGGGTGGATCCATTTCTTCGGCTTCCGGTAATTGCGTCATCCACCTTTGTAAATGCAGAGTTGATCCTCTACTGCGACTACTTCTTGCTCCTTCTGCAGCACTACCGCCGGCACCCGTTTGAGTTTCAGCAGAACTACGACGTGTCTGCATCATTCACGTAATCGGTCATGGAATTGAAAGTTGTGGTAGCTATTACAAATGTGTGGTTATGTGGATATTTATGACGTCATTTCAAGTAAGACTTACATTAAAAAGAACTTTTAATATTCTTCTGAATAATAATGTATATAATACGTATTTAATTATCATTTTTTATTTACTCTATTGCTACACCTACGTCAAATTCTCACCACTTCATGGGTTGAATGGTAAAGAATACCACAAGGTATTAAGTCCGCCCTTTGTATTGTTTAAAAATAGTTTTATAACACATACATACCTGTTACGTAAAACGAAAGAAAGTACTTACCAATTTAGAGTGTATGAAACGAAATTTACACATATTTTGTGTATAATGTCATAACGCAGTTCATTTAAAAGCGAAAAGATATAAAATAGGCAAGGTCAGCAACTATAATACAAGGAAACAAATAATGTGGTTTAAGACAGTGTTCTTGTTACGTCAGTAGGGTTATTGTTATAAATAGAGATCAATCACTGGTATTTTGTATGATAAGGAATCTTATAATAAAAGTTGTTGCTTCAGAAATAAAGAATAGGTATTTTTTTTCTTTAAACATATTTTGTTGTCTATTATTTTGAATTAAGAACATCAAAACCATTTAAAATAAGTAATAAAAAACCCAATTAAACTAAATAATTAGAGAAAATATGTACAAAGTGTATTATTGATTTGTATTATTATTAGTGTATTATTAATGTTGTATTATTTTTAAATGTTGGTCATACCCTTTAATAAATAATAAATAAATAAACTAAGATTCATTAAAGCTGAATGTAGAGTAAATGGCTATATTTTAATAGAACTATTATTGGCTAGACTTGACAGCATACAGGCATCTGAACAGACAGATCTCCAAATGCATGCGGCGGGACTTACGCAACTTCAATACAGCTCGTATTGAAGAAACGATCGAGCGGAACCAAGGCTCCAAAGTCTTTGCCAGAGATCTGTCTGCCAGAAAGAGCCAACTGTCAAATCTGAAGACAGAATGTGGCAGCATCGTTTCCGGTACACCTGAGATTTTGAGTGAGATTGAGATGTTCTATGGGCAGTTGTACACGTCATCGTTGGAGCCACACGCAAGTGTGAGTAACGATCCAAGAGCGAGTCTCATCCAACACTATTCCGAAGATATCCCGGACGTCAGTCTGAGTGAGATTAGAATGGCTCTCTAGCACCTTAAAAACGGTAAGGCCCCAGGCGAGGATGGAATTACGGCGGAGCTTCTGAAAGCGGGTGGAAAACCGGTACTTGAAGTCCTTCAGAAGCTCTTTAATTCCGTCCTCCATGGTGGCATTACACTGGAGGCGTGGAGCAGAAGTGCGGTGGTCTTGTTCTTCAAGACAGGTGACAACGCTCTCTTGAAGAACTACAGACCGATTTCCCTTCTGAGCCGCGTCTACGTGCTGTTTTCGAGAGTCATTACGAATCGTCTTGCGCGCAGACTTGACGACTTCCAGCCTCCCGAACAAGCCGGTTTCCGAAAGGGCTTTAGCACCATAGACCACATACATACCCTTCGGCAAATTGTACAGAAGTCCGAAGAGTACAATTTGCCACTATGTCTGGCGTATGTGGACTATGAGAAAGCCTTTGATTCCGTCGAAATTTGGGCGGTGCTGCAGTCCCTTCAGCGGTGCCAAGTTGACTGTCGGTATATCGAAGTGTTGAAGTGCTTGTACAGTAGGGCTACGATGGCTATCCGAGTACAGAACCAGAGTACGAAACCTATCCAATTGCAGAGAGGTGTAAGACAGGGTGACGTCATATCCCCGAAACTCTTCACCGCTGCATTGGAAGACGTTTTCAAGCTTCTGGACTGGAAAGGATACGGTATCAACATCAATGGCGAGTACATCACTCACCTTCGATTTGCCGACGATATAGTCCTTATGGCAGAATCGCTGGAGGACCTAAGCACTATGCTCAATGACCTCAATAGTGTTTCCCAACGGATAGGTCTTAAGATGAACATGGACAAAACTAAGATCATGTTTAATGTCCATGTCACACCTATGCCGGTAGTTGTTGGGAACACTAAGCTAGAAGTTGTTGACGAGTATGTTTACCTGGGACAAATAGTCCGCCTAGGTAAGTCCAACTTCGACCGAGAGGTCAATCGACGGATTCAACTCGGTTGGGCAGCGTTCGGGAAATTACGGCACATCTTCTCGTCAGGTATACCTCAAACCTTGAAAACGAGACTGTACACCCAGTGCGTGTTGCCAGTGATGACATACGGAACTGAGACGTGGTCCTTCACTGCTGGCCGGATGAGGAAGCTCAAGGTCGCTCAGTGAGCTATGGAGAGGGATATGCTCGGAGTTTCTCTGCGTGATAAACTTAGGAATGAGGATATCCGCAGTAGAACCAGAGTAACCGACATAGCCCAACGGATTAGTAAGCTGAAGTGGCAATGGGCCAGCCATATAGCTCGAAGAACCGACAACCGATGGGGAAGAAAGGTTCTCGAGTGGCAGCCTCGTACCGGTAGGCGAAGTGTAGGGCGTCCCCCCACGAGATGGAGTGACGACCTGGTAAGACATGCAGGAAGTCGATGGATGCAGGTGGCTCAGGACCGTGCTTTGTGGCATTCTTTGGGGGAGGCCTATGTTCAGCAGTGGACTTGTGAAGGGCTGTAATGATGATGATGATTATTGGCTACAAATTGCTTTGTGCGTTAGCTACAGAGCACTACGATATAAAATCATTTGCCAGACATAAGTCTCAATTTGTTACTTATCAACGTAACTAAGGGTTCTATCAGACAGGAAGCGGTCACGCGTTCAAGCGTTCCGCGTTCACGTTCTGCGTTCGAGCGTTCAGTTGCTTTAAATCCCGCTGTCTAGACTACGCGGTGCCAGTCACCATGTTTTTTGACTATAGTTCCTCATCTGAAGTCTAATTATTGATATTGTGGACATTAGCAGCATCAAAACGGAAAAGGAAACATTGGGTGCGCCCAGTAAATACGAATAGAGAACAAGACGGAGAATTTCATAGATTATTTTGTAAATGGCTTACTGATAAAGAAATTTTTTATAATTCATTTTCGGTCCCCATTGCTTTGGCAATTTCTAACCATGCTTCTGCTACTTTTCGTCGGTTTTTATAATCATCGTTCTTCACATCATATAAAAAACACCTTCTTCGTACTAACACAATCAACTTCTCAGTCTCCATCTTCCTTCCGATGTGGACACCGAAACAGCAGTGAACGCTCGGACACGTGCGGTCTGGTTGACGCGGTCAGAACATCTGCTGTCTGGGTATGTCTATGTAACGTAATACAACACAACGAACACAGAACGCGAACGCGGAATGCTTGAACGCGTGAACGCCTTCTGTCTAAAAGATCCTTAAATAAGGCTTATCGTATGTTGTTTCTTGATAGTACCGACCTAATAGCCACTAGTTATAAATGGGTTTTATATGAGCAATTCAATCGTATATTATGGTTAGATAGTAGTGGGATAAGTGTCTTAAAATGTTGTAATTATTTTCATATTCCAATTATTAACGCTGTGTAAAATGCGGTCTGCAAATTAAAATCAATCTCTTAGTTTGTGTGGGAATTTTAATAATTAACTTTCTTTATAAATTGTAATCGTTAACTGAACATACCATCGAGAACTTTAACATGAGAAAGAAATATGCGGAGATACTAGTTATTAATTTACCTAATTGATAGTGCGACGTAACAATTTGCATGCATAAAAAATTGCGAGTGTTGTTGTATTACATAGAAAAATGGTAGATTGTTAACTAGAACAACTCTTGGACGTTAGCGTCGCAAAATTACCGAAAGAGAGATTCCAAATAAAAAAAATGTTTTCACCACTGATAGTTTATTTATTCACCCACCAATAGAATTTTTTTTAATTCAATCTAAACATAAACATCAAAATTTATATCAGTAGTCCATGATATACGTATGTATATTATAATGAACCCAGAGCACTAAGTAAAATTGTTTCTCAAAATTATCGTGTTTTTCTTTATAATTTATTCATTTTTTTTTAATTTACACAGCCAAAGACATCAAAAGTTATTGATTCTAATAATTTATTATTGTATAAAAGACATACAAATATGTCCCCGGGGTAGGTTATGTGAACATTTCACGATGCTAGCGATATAATCTACGCGATTTCTATTTTTTTATTACGTAATATATGCACACAACATACAAATAAAAAGCTTAACTACAGTTGTAACGTAGAAATGTATTATCGACTACCATTTTTCATTGTAATACACACGACGGAAATGGCGATGAGTGCTTGTAATATCAAAAATTAAAAAAGCGAAATAAAAACAGCTTTAGTGTAAATCTAAGATGGATTACATGAAGTAACATATCGCGAAATTGATCGCCAAATATCCACATGACCTGTACAAACAGTTACAACAATACAAACAGTATATAATAACGTAGACGCTTAACATTCTTAATTCTAATATTATCGTTATATAATTACATGTATACCTATTTACCGCCAGAACATTGAAATAAAGTTATAAGATTTCTCAAAGGAACACGATATACTTATGTGTTGATAAAGAACGCTACAGATAAATTTTCAAAAAAGGGGGAAAGCATCGTCATAAGAAAAGGACGGAAGACTTAAAAAGCGACGACTTGGATATAAAAAGTGTTATGTAATGAAACCGTATAAAAATCTCCTACAATTTGGTTCCCGTTATTACATATTTGACACAGAGCTGGTTTTTAAATGACACAATATTATTTTATAAACACAATAACGCTAATACTATGTGGATTTCTTATGATGATTTTGTAATGCCAAATATCAAAATACGCGGGCGGATCTTTTTTACTATTACCAGGTTTAACACCTTGATTAATCAAAATATTGAGACATGCTTCAGAATAATGCATACATTCGAAAATATGTTTCTCAAAATTTACTACCACAACCTTTACCTCGTCAGTAAACAGTTTCTCAATCAACAATTTTTCTTCTTTTTTAGTTTGAAATTTGTCCTGTGTGATTACTATAAGACTTTATTGTAGATAAAATACGTTCCGGGCGTGAGTTTAAGACAGGGTTACATAATACATCAATCGAAGTGGTTGTTTTGCGGAATTTCCTAATTGAATTTTTTGTTAAGGATCCGGTGTAAGCAAACGTCTGCTAACTCCGAATCCGACTCCGCGTATCAAAGTTCCAAGTAGGCTGGAGGAGTTGGCCTCTCTGGTAATGCTACACGTGGTAAAAGTGAGTCATCTGGAAGAAATATGCGCTCTTCAACTGCATGTTTATAGGATGGATCAACATCCAAGTCAGCTAATGCTAGGTCTGCTTCAAATGATTCCCACCTACAGGGAGAAACTTCTGAGTAATCTTCACCTCCATCTGAAGTTACTTTTGCACTGGGAGAAGTAGGTCTATCTTCATTCTTTTCAATACTTGATGAAGATACAAAGTGAGAGGAGAATGTTTGTGAATCAGCAGGTGAAAGATTAGCTGAAGGTGTTTCTGGCGTAAGAGCTGTTCTCCATACTGAGCTTAAAGGACCTCTAACAGGTTGGGGAAGAGGAGATTCGGAGTAAGGTCGAACGTCGAAACTGACTCTAACTTCTTTCTCAGTTCGTTCTTCTACTAGCATATTAAGATGTGACCGGTATGAACTGGCTGGTAAGAGTGCCATGCTCGAGTGACGTTGAATGCTTGATGCCGATACCTGGCGTTGTTGTGAGTCCAGAGTCGCTAAAGAGAAGGTCAGCTGTGGATCTGGTGAGTCTAATGGTGAGCCGAGAGGTGTGCCTGACATCGTGTGAGCTCGGTAGCTGTAAATAGAATTTAAAATAATTATATTTCCGAAATATAATAAAAGAAACATAATGTAAAATTAAACAAAAGAGACTTAGCACAATCAATACTTTCTTTTGTATAAATTTCTGATGACTTTTATCTATAATTTTTAAACAGAATTTCATATAGTGATATGTCTTCAAAGTTTTTTTGGTTCAGTTATTTTGAAGACTAAAAATTCTTTTCCGTGTTAAATAAAAAAAAAATTTGTAATATTATTTTTAATTTATTTGTATCAAAGTATTTTGGTATGAACTTTCGATCGACGATATCAATTTCTACAACTAAATATTTTTTAGAGAATTGAATTTTGTTAATGATACTCGTATTAGGTTTTATTTAAATGAGACTTCCTATACTACTCACATTTGCCTTTGCAGTAAACTTTGCCACACGGCTTTTAAATCTATCGAAGGTGCTCGAAGGACAATGGGTCGGGCTCGCCCTGGTGTTCGCGGTGAACAGGAAACCAACGGACTTTCTCCACCAGCACGACCAAGTATGAGACGAAATTCCGTTGCTGAAAACAGTAACATAATGAAAAACTGTATCATCATAAAACTAGGATTAAATAGGGTATACGCGGGGTAGCCCAGAGGAAAAGTGGTAGACGTAAATTTCACAGTACGTGAGCAACCCGGATTTGATTCAGCCATCCATTCCATCCATTCATTACAGCGTATGAAAGTCCACTGTTGAACATAGGCCTCTTTCATAGATTGCCTCATGGATTTCACCATAGTTGCCACGCTTGGTAAGCGGGTTGACGACCGCAGGTTTTTATTATTTTGAGTTGTTTGAGGAAGATGCTGCTGCCCATCGCCTGTTTCAATTTCCTTCTGTCGCTTCTTACGGCACCCACGGAACGATTGGGGGATATTATTACACCGCCACTACACGGTCAATTAACCCACTTGACAGGAATGGTTGACCCAGCGCATATCAATAAATTATTAATTGCAATTTATCACGTGTTCGAAATATAATGACGTGCCAAATGTTGATGCATTTTGGAGCAAGATGGTTTACTCCAAAATGCATCAACTTGCTCGTTGGTAAGTAGTTATTGTGGGTGGCCCAAAGATATCTACATCTATCCTCGGTTACGAATTAAAATGCAGATGAAATGAAAATAGGCTGTACCCAGCAAAACAAATTATTTAGTCTGTATCGTTAGGCATTTAATAGTGAAGGAATATCCCAAAACATTGCAGCGTATGAAAGCAGAAAAAGTAAAGTTTTTATGTATGTATATAGTTGACGCTATTCCACGACCACATTAAATTGGATTATGTGAGAAGCTTACCTTTTTTCCTAATATTAAATTGAGCATCTGACACTGATGCCAAGGAGACAGGTTCTTCGGTGACAAAGAGGACCCTGTCTCTTGACACTGTGGCAAACAGTAGAAGATCGCTAAACAGCAGTGCCCAGTATGGTCTGATGGCTCGGCCTTCAACCCTGGACAATTCGCCTCCAAAAATCCATTGCCTGCCTGGAGTGCTTAAAACGAACGGCTGTAAGTACGTACATATTTACAATTAGTAAAATATAAATATATTATTCAGTAAATTTATTCATAAATAATAATGCAATTGTAATACGGACACTATTACAAAATTATTTTTACAATGAAACTGACTGTTCAAATAAATTACTCTATTTGAACGTACCTTACACCTAGTGAACACCAATCGACTTTCCAAGTCAGCAACTGACAACAACGGCTTGCCATCTCCAGCTAAACCCATCAACCCGGAGCCTGCAGTGACATCCTGGTATGCACCCTGAAATTGTATATTCAATGAATTAAAGACAATAGAGTTATTAAAAATTAATTAAAGTATATAGTATATTAAATTAATAAACACGAGTAATAAATCTTCGAAAATATCGCAAAAGTAACGCCATATTCTATTAATTATCTGAACAGCGATTTAATAAATAAATTTAATGGAATTTCATAATTCAGTTTTCACCAACTTCCAGATGTATGAATAATTTGATTTAATTTTGCAGACGAAAATTAAATCAAGATCAACCAAGAACCGTTGTCAATACAATAACTTCATAACTATGGCTTAATAACTGTAATATGGGAATAACAAAGAGTATTAGGTACTACATTAGAGAAAATGCAGTAATATATTATGTACTCTTTGTTATTCCCAATTCCCATATTATTACAGTTTTTTCATGGTTGTTAAAAATCATCGATCACTAATAAGAAACTAGGTACACAATCAGTGACAAAGAAGTCCTTACCGAATGAGCGCCCACGCGAACATTTGGGTGCGCTTTTAAGGTGTACGTAGCTTTGTAAATACATATAATACATATAATCACGCCTCTTTCCCGTAGGGGTAGGCAGAGACCACTTCTTTCCACTTCCTACGATCTTTACATACTTGTTTCGCTTCGTCCACTTTCATTATTCTCTCCATACATGCTCTACGGTTTACGGTGCTCTTGACCTGGCCTTTTTTCAAGACGTCCCTGATTTGGTCTTGAAATGTCCACCTAGGTCTACCCCTTCCAGCACTTTCATTCACACTAGCGAGACTTACAACAACAACTTTAGATATACAACTTTAGATAATGCATTTAAGATTGAATTTATATTAATGTATATTTATTTAATATAAATAATAAAAACAATTTTCGACAGTTTTTAGAGAACTTTTGCATGGGATTCTGTATCTAGTTTTTTTAATTAGTGATTGATGTTAAAAATGTACAAAAACATGATCAAATATATCAATAATCAATAGATATTTTTATAGATATGACGAATTCATAAATGTAAAAAACTCATGGTTGTTCATGTTGGCGTATTATGCAATTGGAACTTATCTACGATTGGTGTAATATTTTGGGCCTAAGTCAGAATTATACTTCAGAAGTAACAACACATCTGTAGCTTTCTTTATTTGATGTTGATTGCAGTTGTCTATGAATTGCAGTAGTCACCATCAGGTGAATTTTAAGTTCGCTTAACTCTGCAATTGTATAAAAAAAAATGTGTCTCCATGTTCAGCAATTAACTTTTTCGGGATAACCAAGAAAAATGTATTTTTACCAATTCTGAGAATTAATGTAACAAACATGTTCCAAAGTACTTAAAAAATATTAGAAAATTGTTATGTATAGTAGAGGCGTGTTTTTCAAACAAACATGTAGACCAGGAGCATATATTTAAAATAATCGAACCTACGAACCGCAGCCAAACGCTGTTCCACTGCGCTAGTTTGTAAATAATAACTTATTTAAGACAGCAGATAACGTAAAAGTACCTGTAACTGTTCAACAATGACTTGTAGTTGCTTCTTTTCAAGCTGATCGTAAGGACCGGCGCCATTCGCACTGGCTGCCGTTCTCATTAGCCTTAGCAGTTCTCTGAACTGTTCTAAAGGTTTATGTATTAAAGACGTTATGTCGGGTCTTCTTCGCGGTATGGGTGGGCTCGTACAAAATCGAGAGAACGCTCCACTTGGATCTTTTGATTTTTTCACCTAAAATTTTTAAATAAGCTTTATATAAAATGTTTCATCTGATAAAAACTTGTTAAGTATTATTTGTAATAAGACAATAATTTCAGCATGATTTTAAAATGTTATTATAATTTTATTTAGAAAGTTTTATTCTTTACGTGGTGGAGTCACGTGCCCGTTTGTTTATTGTGTAAGACAATACCAGCTTTAAATAGCAACATAATGCTACTGTCTTTCGAATTGTTAGTACTGAAAAACAGAACTCATAATTACTGGTAACGATACATTCCATTTTAGTTGTCAGGGGTGAATATGAATCTGCTTTATGATCCCTAATCAGGATACCAAAAGGTAAGTACAAGTTTAGAGGTTGAACAAAAGTTTTAAGGAGGTTTAACCCTCTGATTTTCCATGATGAGAAAATTTATAATTTGTTTGATTCAAAATCGTTGCCTAACGGGATTCAAGCCAGGAAATCAAGATGCTGTACTGCCGTCACGTTTAATATTAGAGACACTAGAAGAAACGGACGACCTTTATGTTTGTATGCTTAGAAATACCATTTCTTAATTTTTGAAATTTTTTTCTTACCAAGACACAATCAGCTCGTTTTAGTCCTAAACAATACTTCTTATATAGGCTAAGGAACACAGGAGTTTTTTGTAAATACACCGCGACAACTGTGGACGTTTGTATTTCCCCATCGTCTTGTACTACTTGATCAAGAATATCTTCAGATAGCCTGAAAATCTGAAAATTATATGTTTAAGTTCATCAATCATTTTTTTATAAATGTTTCTTCGATATTTCAGTCTATTGTTAATTTGACTTAGGTGATGTTAATTTTTGGGTCTCTATTTTGTACATTTAAGTCAACTCTAACAACACGATCATTTTTTGCATGTCCTTAAAATAAATTATAATGGTTTATTTTTATTTGTTCCTGTGCACCCAATTTCTTTAGCACTTAAGATGTTATAAATTCTACTCTCATGCTATTAGTAAAAAAAATGTTATCATTATCTAATCTGATTGAAGTGTTGAGCATCAGATGTTAAAAAAATTACTTAAATTTACTTCTATAATAATTGGCCTTACCTCCTCAATATTCTGGAACAATAGCTGATGGTCACTTGGGACAATTAGATCGGCTCTCTCTGCAAGCGGCGAAACGAACCTGACTAGCCCAAATTGGAGACACGTGGCATAATGCTGCTCCCTTGCAATTACCGCTAGGAGTGCACGTTTCCTTCCATCGCTAGATGCACCTGGTGTCTGAGAGAGAAAAAAATTACTGTCGAGCACAGGCCTCCTTTTATTTATGAAAGGGTTGTGGAGTGGCCGGGCTGCTTTAGTGCATATTGGCGGACATCCTATGACATCAATACACTTTGTTCCTCAAAGTATGTGGGTTTGATGATGATTACTTTACTACTAAGCATATGGTAAATCAGTACTTTAAATAGTTATCGTTACCGTTACAGCCTATTAAAGTCAAATACTGAATATAGGCTTTTCCCATAGATTGCCAAATAGGGGGATATTGGCCACACCGAACCGCTTCGGTTCGGTTCGTCAACCGCTTTTTTATTTTTAGTCGTTACTAGGAAGACGCTGCTGCCCATCTGCTGAGTTGTTTCCCTCTGTCACCTCTTACGACACCCACGGTATGAGATGGGGTAGTGAATATTCTTAAACCACCACTGCACAGTCACTTTAAGTAGTAACTAACACACTACATTTTATTGGTAGATTTCTCGTGTATTGTGTAGATAAAATAAGAATTAAATCTAAACTTGTTAACGGACTCAGCTTTGCAACTTATGCAACTGAAAAGGCCAGTTTATTTTTGTTACTTAATTTACATGCGTGGTATGGGTGCGCAGCGTTTTCAACAAGTCTCAACTCTGCCTTATACAAAATTACAAAAGTATATGCAAGTAATGAACATTAAATTAATGTACCATTATTGATACAACATTATATTCCTTTGTAATTAAGAATCATAGAAAATAATAATGTATTATTCAATATAGATCATAAATAATTGTTATTGAAAGTAATTTTTTACTTATACTACTGGATCAAAAAAAAACCTGTCTTGGGAAGAACTATATTTACTTATTTTACTGTACTTTTTTATTTCCAAAGTAACGTTATAATATAATAAAATATAATTTGTACAATAATATACAAAACTCATTTAAGATACAGATATCAAGCGATCGCCTCAGTTCCAGGGGCTCTTATCAATTATGTATTAGTCTTTACCATATACCATATTTGTAAAATCTTTGTTTAATAAAAAAACTTGGTGATAACGAGACAATGCATTTTTTCAGGAACTTTGTTGTAAAAATACATAGATTGTCTCATGAATCCGTGGAGTCGAGTAACTGGTACTACTAACTATTCTTTGTTCCTGATCCATATGGTGTGTATATCACTTGGTTTTATTAAACTACTTTTGTTTTTGTGAACATATATAAAATTTTCGTAATTATATATACCGAAAATCCAAATTATTTCCTTCTTTGAATATTTTTCTGGGAAATTCTTTCGATATAGCTGTCTCTACACTAGTGCGACTTCTAATCTTTTTACAGCATAAGTCTTTGAAGTTTAGCGTTAATAGTAATACCAACTAAAACTGTGGAGTCGACAAGGGTCCTTAACATTTGTTGTTGAAAATTTTATACATTTAATTTTATTGCTACTTAAGTGTAGATTGTTAACTAACGTTAACAATTAGTTAACAATCTACACTGCCAGTGCACCAATTTTGATATAACAGTACAATGTTTCTTTCTTTTCGTCAAATTTGATATTTTTATCAATCCCTTCAAGGTAAGCTAAGACATTAATGGAGATTACGAATAGAAATGGACCAATAATTGTGCCCTGAGGAACACCCATAATAAAGGTAACCTGGAAGAACTTGAACTATTGATAAAAACTATTTGTTTTAATACTCATTTATGCTAGAAAAATATTAAGCGCTATGTTTTTAACATCATAATGCTTTATCTTTCTGAATTATATTTTGTGGTTTGAGGCTTTGGAAAAATCAAGAAATATGTTCAAAGCAAATACTTCCAAATTGCAATTATTCGAAATACACAAAAATATCTTTAATAACCTTAATATCTGCGGCAGTAGACTAGTACCTAACCACAAATTATACTTAATGTTGTTAATGCAAAACTAGTTCTAATTTTAGCGGAGTTTAATGTGCTACTAGATTTAAATAAAGGCGTTGAATTAAAAACCTTGTTCCTTGTGTAAGTTCTCCATAAGTCTGCAGTTTTTTTAACATCAATCGTTTTAAAATATTTTAAAATATCATTTGGCAACACTTTATAGAAATTAAAAATGTTTGGAACAAGCCTTTAAAGTTTGTTTAAGAATTACAAGATTTTGCTGTTAAAAAGGAATATAAAGTGAAATATTTCTCAATAGCCTTAGAAGCTTCCATCTTTCTATCTATCAACTTCTTAATTATATTTAGTAAAATGTTCAATTCTTTATTTTAATGATTACGTCATCATCATCATTACAGCCTTTCATAAGTCCACTGCTGAACATAGGCCTCCCCCAAGGAATGCCACAAAGCACGGTCCTGAGCCACCTACATCCATCGACTTCCTGCATGTCTTACCAGGTCGTTACTCCATCTCGTGGGGGGTCGCCCTACACTTCGCCTACCAGAACGAGGTACGAGGCCATGTAGTGGCGGTGTCAAAATATTCACTAACCCAATTTCGTCCTTGTAAATGGTGACACAGGGAAATGTTATGCGCCGCAGCGTCTTCCTCATAACAACTCACGAAAAACTGCGGTTGCCAACCCGCTTTTCAACGGAGGCAACTATGGCAATTATGTGGGATATATAATTATTAATAATAAGAGGGTATCCCTATGAATCAATCTCTGGGACTTCTAGAATGTAACGGTAATGCCGATGGTAAAGCTTACATTCGTCTACTTTTCTACCGAATTCAAAAAGGAGACGGTACTCAATTCGACTGTATGTTTTTTTTTACGTGTGTTACCCCATAATTTATATCTGGGTGAACCGATTTCGATGAATCTTTTTTTCATTTGAAAACTGGTGCTTCTCATGTGGTCCCATATAAATTGATCAAGGTCTGACCAATAGTTTTTGAGTTATTCTTAATAATTTATATTGAAGTCGGTTGTACAAAATTTTTAATTTTAAGTTATGTGGATTCCTATTTAAGGATAATGTTTTAGAAGTCAATGATTTATTAAAATCACAACGTACAATTTCAAATATAATCCAAATATTCATACGACGGTAACGGAAGTCTTTTCACTATATGGCATTTAAGCCTATGTTCAAGCCTATGTTTGTTCATATTGTTCATATAAACAAACACTACTTACTTATTTTTCTGATTCTTTTTGTATAATATGTAAAGAAACGAGACTAACTGTCCATAGTGATCTGAACTTTGGAATGATTGATTAGTGCAAAAAATTGTCATGTAATAATAGTTGCATTAGGTCCAGAATTATGTTTTGGTTTTAAGGTTGTATTTGATGATTGCGCTCTTTAATATTATTTTTCCCATGATATAAAGATGGTTTTTACCGATACTTTATTTACTTTCAAACTTAGTTTAGTCATTTAAGGTTATATAAATACAAAGAGGTTGAAATTTCAGCCCTTAGAAATGTCTGTTGATCTTATTGACTCGAAAGAATTCTTACAGTTTATAACGACTTTTTGAGTTCTTATACTAAAATATAAAAGAGATAAGTTTAAGTGTCGTATTTTTACGGATGATGTTGTAATTTCCTGATTGATCTGGTAAACCATAGACCTTGGAAAAATGCAGGCATCGGGTCCGCGGATAGAATCCTACACTGAACAATTGTTTGAATGCCCTAAAATACTGCTTTCGGATTATCATGTTTGTCCATGCAATTTACACATGTAAAACACCTCTGCGGTACAGGAGAAAGTTCTATTGTGATATTAATTAAGTTTTTCTCTACTATTAGGTGTCGTAGTAATTTAAAAAAAATGGCAAAAATATACCGTGACTTCTAATTGCACATTAGATGTGAATTAATTATTTTATAAATTAGGCTACTGATGACGATGACAAGCATTTAAAATAGAAGAGGTCTGAACTAGTGGAGATAATAGGGTCCACATTCGATAGGTGGATTGGCCATTGTTCTATTAGACATCGCTACATTGACTTTGCTTCCGGTCTTGACGTAAACGGGTCATATAATTATCCGTCAGAAGCCGTGTGAATTCGCGTAATCGCCGTTTTAGACATCCATGGAACGAAATGGGTTAATAGTTCTTACGCCGTCACTACGCACACTTCCTATATTATAGCGATGACGGGATCAAATAATGCTTGCTTGGTAACAGTTGTTTGCTCTTTTCTTAAAAAGTTATACGTGGTAGAGCCACGCTGCAGATTTATTATGGTTGTAACACGAATGGGTCGGCTCAACCTAGGTAGGACCACGCTATCACAGGATACCAGTGTATAATAGCAGCTTAATGCTGTTGTATTTTGTATGGTGAGTGTAGAGAACCGGAGACCCTTTTTACTGAAAACGGGGCATTCCATCAGGCATTCCTCAGGTATGACAACGCATCTGCATTTTGATTCTTATTTGAGGATGAATGTATATGTCTATGGGGCACAGCATCCACTTACTATCAGGTGGACTGTATGCTCGTATTTATTCTATAAAAAAAAATAACTCACAAAATAAATTCAGTTGTTAGTAATAATACTAAATGAATACCCATGAACAAAAGTATTAATAGATGATGAGAATGATTTGATATAAAAAATGTAATATTTAAACGTATTTAAACTAAAACAATTCAAGAAGGAAATGAAACAGAAAATAATGAAAAGCAATAAATTTATTTGCATTTAACGTAAAGAACATAAATTAAAGAAAAAAAAAAGATGATAACAGGAACCAAAAAAAAAAAATATCAAACGCAATAGTTTGGTACAAATTAAAATTACCTATTAAAGTAAACAGAAACTTTACAGCAACACAAAACTTATACTAAAGAAAATTGTTTTACTAAAAAAATATCTTCACAAAATAACACACACTGTATGTTACAAATGGGTATAAATAAAAGGTAACAAAATAAATATAACAAGAAACAGTATTCTTAAACGTAACGATTCCCCTTTAGTGAATATACTTAACGTCTACACTTAAAACAAAAAAAAGAACCTTCTGTACATAATTTCAAAGTAAAGAAAATAAAAATATTTACATATATAATTATGGAATGTATTATGAAGTTCATTCTATAATGGTTTTAAAAAGTAAATAACATTTTACACGCTAAAACTGTACATGAACAAGTTAACCTACAACATACAGAAATTAAAACAAAATTTTCACACCTTGATGTCTTAAATTGTAAAATACAATCTAAATATAAAGAATTCCACTAAGCATACTCTAGCACCAATTTTAAATTTTGATTTCAAAGAAATTAATTTAGAGAATTTTCTACAGATGACTAGTACGAATTCAAATTCGAAACACTAAATTCAGCTGCCCAAAGAGGTAATTCTATATTTTGTAATTTAGGGCACTTGGTATTTTGAAATGGTATAGATGTTTTATCATCTAAAGAATAAATAAATGAAAATTTAATTACTTAAATAGACTTAAAAATAAAAGAAATCCGAACTGGCGTTCTATTAACATTAATTAATTATTATATAAAGCGGACCATTTGTTATTTATTTTGATTTACTTTGTCGAAGGCTTCTGCAAGTTCTCAACCACAACTATCTTATAAGTAGCGAATAACTATTCGCTAGGTGTAAGTGCGTGTGTAACATTAAATAGCAGCTTTCAATTGACTGATATTTGATATTAATGAAAAATACTATAATTGATTGAATTGTATTACCATTTACCTTTGGCTCATTTCATAAATAGTCGGAAATGTAAGCTGCATGTGTAGTCAAGATGTAAACACAGCAACACTTATTCATTCTCGTTTGAATTATTCGATTTAATTCTTAGTAACAAGATCGGAAAAAGGTCGCTGACGTGTATTAAAAACAAAACAAATTACATTTGCACTCTTAAACAGACCAAAATTCAACATAACGGAGACCTACGTCTCACCGTACAGATACGTTAAATATCGTCAAATTACGTTGTTTGAACGTCTTTACTACTTAAGCCTGTGATTGAACAGTTGATAAATTATTTTCAGTAATATTTATATCATCTGTCAATTAAAAACTGCTACTCATAAGTTAATCTCAGTTATTGTCAAACAATAATGCCATTACCGACCTCCTTTGAAAATGTGACTTGTGGTAGATGCAGTTTGCGCCTGTCGAGCGATTGGCTTGTGGAGGAGCAAGCAGTGGGCGGTCTAGCGGCTGCTGCAGGAGACGCGAGGGCTGCGCTCCGGGGTGAGCGGGGCGGCGGAGGGGGTGTCGATTCAGCTGGGACCGGAGGAATTGTCACTTGCGTTAGTCGCGGCCGGACTCCGGCACCGTTCTGAGGCACTCGCCTAAACGTTTCTATTATCAGCGTTTGGCCAGCTGATCTGCAAATTGAGGAAAATACTGTTTAGAAGGTCTTCTATTATTGATAAGTGAGAAAATTATTAGACGAACTAAATTTTTAAATTATATTAATAATATGTAATAATTGCATTAAAATAAGCTGTCAAAAAACAAGGCTACGGAAGCCTTGTCATCCTTGATTACTAAAATTAGCTAAAATAGGATTCCTTAGCATGTTAAGATTCTGACAGAAATACAGTACTTCGCAGCAGGTACATTAAAACAGTGATTCCCAGCCAGTGGTCAGCAAGAGCCTAAATCTGGTCCGCGGAAGATTTAAATATTATACATACCCAATAATTTTAAATAACACATTTATTATTTCCTCGTCACTCGGGCAGTACCTACTAGTTTTAGAAATAAATACACAAATTGTTAATGAATGCTTCTATTAAGTTTGTTATATAATTATAATAAAAGTTGTGATTATAATTTTTTATTAGATTAACACAGTTATTTTCTTTCACCTTGTGGTCTCTGATAACTACAAAAAAATCAGTGGTCCCTAGTCAAAAACAAAGGTTGGGAAAACCTGCACTAAGCCATTACCTTAAAGATATTATTTAATATAGACATTTATGTTAAATAATGTCTTATTTAACGGGCACAGACCAGCAATACTCGTAGATACACGGAGTGTTGCGTACATTTCAACTACTGCCAAAAAGATGCTTAACTTTTTAGCACGCAATCACGTTCACATTTTTCTTCTTTCTTTATTTATTAGTCAGTAGTTTCTTTGTTTATTAAAATTTCATCACTGGACACACAGTTGTGCACCTTAAAGCTTTTTGATGGTTGATGGTTTTTAGCTTGGGTTTTGTATCACTTAAAATTTACGCGGGTCTACGTCCTTCTTTATTTGTTGATCTAAGTTGAAGGGTTAATAAGATTTGTTATCACTGACACTCACTTGACAAGGTTTCGCACGTCCTCCTCATTGGCAGTGACTACGTTCTTGTTCCCAACGAACACAATATAGTCTCCAGCCCTGAGCCCCGCCCGCTCGGCTGACCCGCCTGCTGCCACTCTCTCCACTCTCGGTGGTCTAGTCCAGACCACTGTAAAACCAAAACCACCGCTGGTACCACGGATGATCCTGTAAAAATTAAATATAATTTACAAACTATAACACTATATCAGTAATAAAATATTCTCAGAACCGGCGAGCACATTTAAGGCGGAAATATTGATCTGATTGTTGTGACTGACCTTGTCCAATTTTAAATTTGAAACTTTCATTGTTTAAGTGTTATAAATGGATTTAAAATGTTAATTAACAGTGGCGTTGTAAGAATATCAACTACGCCATATCGTTCTGCGGGTGACGTAAGAGATGGCAGAGGAAAGGAAATCAAAAGACGATATAAAAAAAATCCCTATCGAACAGTCTTTGAGGGAGGCTTAAATTCAGCAGTGGACTTTTGATATACTGTAACGGTAGAGGTAATAAAAGGTAAGAAAAAATAATTTTAAATTTCTACATTATAACGAACGAAGGCAAAACGTGTAATTTTCAAACAATTGTCAAAACAATTTGATATCATATTAGTTTTCTTTTATGAAAGTAATTATTTCGTTAAAAAAAAATTAAAAATGCTTTATTTCTGTAACATACCAGGTTTACCAACACATTTTGATAACACTCCTTTTAAGTATATAAATACCTGTATTAGGAAGTTATCGCTCTTCCATATTATATGACTACAAGGTAAATATTAGTTACAAAGTGTATCATTTGTGATTATTTATAAAATCAGTCTACATAAAATTACTAATATAATTTAATATTGATTTTATTTCATTTTAATAGTGTGTGTGCGTGCGTGCGTGCGTGTGCGTGCGTGCGCGCGTGTGTGTGTGTGTGTGTGTGTGTGTGTGTGTGTGTTTGTGTGTGTGTGTGTGTGTGTGTGTGTGTGTGTGTGTGTGTGTGTGTGTGTGTGTGTGTGTGTGTGTGTGTTGTGTGTCGCGTGCGTAATATGTGTGTGTGTAAATGAAATATTGTATCTACGAGTATTTTGCAGCAAATCAGAAATTACTTCATGCATATTTTTTTTAAGTTATTTGAATTGAAATAGGTATTTACAATTTGAGTGTCCACTGTCAATCGTTTATTTCGTTGGAAATAAACGCTTCTAAATAACTAATAGAAGTAACCTTACTTAAAGAAAGTGTCCCACTTCAAAAGCTAGTTTAGAGTATCTAAATAAAAATATAGTATTTTAATAAAGACTAGCACCCGCACCGACTTCGTTTAGGTTAAAGAGCGTTATTTAGATTCAAGATAACCAAAAAACCAATTATTTTAGGAACTTTTCGTTTTTTTTTGACGCTTAAAATGTTTGGGATTGTTTGGAACTGTTCTTGAAGTTTCATTACAGTCGTTTCAGCCATTCCGAGGATAAGTCCGAACAAACAGACAAAAAAATTATAAATGGTTGTTCATGTCTTAATGACATGCAAATAAAACTCTGGCAATATAAGGCAGTTATTTCGATATTACAGACAGACACTTCAGTTTTATTTATATACTAGCTGTTCCCCGCGACTTCTCCTGCGTGTTATTTGGGGTTTTAATTTTTTTGCTCGAAGCCCTAATTCTTTTTCTAAAATAAAGGTACCCTAAGTTACTCTTTGTGACATCAGCTATCTGCCAATGAAAATTCCGTCAAAATCGATCCAGTCGTTTTGGAGATTAGCCGAAACAAACAGACAGACAGACGGACAGACAGATAGACAGACAAAAACTTTAAAAATTGTATTTTTGTTATTAGTACCGTATATACTTTCATATGTATTTAGTAAAAAGCTGTTATTTTGACATTACAAACAGACACTTCAATTTTATTTATTTGTATAGTTATGTATAGTTATAGGTATACATAAATAAATGATCTAACTCTTACTTTCTCGTAGTGGTGAATGGCGTGCGTCCGTTTCTTGGCGCCCGTCTCGGCGCTGCTGGGTCATCCGGCGGATCAAGCTCCAAGTATCGTAAAAACAAGTGTTCGTCAGCCTCCCTTTGTAAAGCTGCAGCAACCGCTTGTGCTTGACTGCCGGATGCACCAGAAGCGGGACCGTTTGTTGCCACTCCTAAAAGAATTTGAAATAAAATTAATCGGTGACAATTACGTTTAACTATTGTTACAACTATGTTGAACTAATCAAATTAAAAAAATATATACAAAAATATTGCAATAGATAACAATTAGTGCATTATTAAATAATAATTTGTAACTGTAAACTGTATACAATAATCGATAAGGCGGTGATTGGTATGGGCTAATTGAAAACATTAATTGTGATCGTATTTTCATAACCAGCATTGTCTATGGTAGATAAATTTCTCATAGTTCATAGATAGATGAACATATTAGGATACTCAACACCATTTAATAATAATGTCATACAAACCGAATTTGGGTCACGACAGTCATATTCGACGGAAACTACTACTACTAAACTGTGTATGACAGGATTTATAGTGCACGAGTGTATGCGCAAGCACAGATGCACTCTCTATTGCCTCATTCTCATCGTCCGATGCGATGGCAATGCCACAGAATCTGAGAGAACAGGCGCAGGACCAACGTCACGTAACAACATCAACGTTGCCTACCGGTACGAGGCTGCAACTCGAGAACCTTTTTTCCCCATCGGTTGTCGATTCTTCGAGCTATATGGCCAGCCCATTGCCACTTCAGCTTACTAATCCGTTGGGCTATGTCGGTCACTCTAGTTCTACTGCGGATATCCTCATTTCTAAGTTTATCATGTGGAGAAACCCCGAGCATAGCACTCTCCATAGCTCGCTGAACGACTTTGAACTTTCTCATACGACCAGCGGTGAAGGGTCACGTCTCAGATCTATAAGTCATCACTGACAACACACACTGGTTGTATAATCTCTATATATGACACTTAGCCAATAATGGAGTTTCACAACATGGTTAATAACGCTTAAGAAGTACATATGGAATAAAACTATTTTTACGGATTTTATCGCGTTTAAAAAAAGCACCTAAAACGTCGGGAATTAAAATAAGTAAATTTTAATTCCCGACGGTTTAGGTGCTTTACGCCAACCCATGTAAAAATAGTGTTATTCAATTAATATAATTTAAAGTTATTAAAAGAGTACTAATTTTGGATTATATGTTTTTGTTTAAATCAGCAGCTATTTTACTAAGTAAACACAATAAATATGTGTGCAATAAGTAAAGAAACATAAAATGAAATATAATGTAAAATGTAACATGTTATTTTATGTATCTTTAACTTTTATTATACTACTGTATTAACAATATGCCTTCAAAATTGATACTGATACAGAATTGAGTTAATAGATATGGAGTTGATGTAAAATACCTAGTTGTATGCTATTCGACGCTGTTTATTGCCGTAGTTAATATATTTAGTTACGAGAGCAGAGAAATACCATTAACTTATCTAATGGAACGCGTACGCAATTAAATAACTTTTAATAAAAAGTAAAAGCCAACTTCAAAGAATTAAAAATAATTATATATTTTCCCCGGTCGAGCTGATCCCTTCGTGATAATGTTAGCTGTACTGTGGCTCTACTACGTATATATAATGTATATAATAGCAATTTGCTTCGTCTTTTCTAACGAATCCAAAAAGGAGTAGGTACTCATTTCGTCTGTATGTTTTTTATGTGTGTTACCTCATAACTTTTTTCTGGGTGAACCGATTTCGATGATTCTTTTATTTGAAAGCTGGTGCTTCTCATGTGGTCCCATATAAATTTGATTAAGGTCTGACAAATAGTTTTTGAGTTATTCTTAATAATTTATATTGAAGTCGATTGTACAATTTTTTAAATTTTAATTTGTGTAAAACGAACATCAAAGGATAGGAATAATTTACCGGCATTTCTTTCCGTCCGATTACAATCTGGTGTCTTCAAAGCAAGAGTAAGTAGGCATTTTTACGCTTAGTTTTTTTTTATAGGATAAGGGTGATAAACGAGCACTCAGTCCACCTGATGTTAAGTGGTTGTTGCGGCCCATAGACATCTACATCTATCCTCTATTACAAATCAAAATGTAGATACGTTGTCACCCGTGAGGACTAAGATGGAATGCCTCATTTCCAGTAAAAAGGGCCTCCGGCCACCTGCAATCACCAAGCGAAACGCAGAGGTAAACCTCTACTTCACGCTGGTATTCTGTGAGGTCGTGGTACCACCCCGGTTTGAGCCGGCCCATCCGTGCGACAGCAAAAGCTGCCACGTGGCTCTACCACTGTTAAAAACTGCTGCACTGTGATTTGCAATCGCTGGCTACATCGCCATTTAATAAAGCACTGTTTTAATAATTTGCACATCACATCAACAACTTTTAAGTCCAAGATGAGGGTAACCAGTCTATGCAAACCTTTTCTAAGTTACATGAGGTGGCAGACTGATTACGTAGGTCTTTACTAACAGAGTTCCACCATCGTACACTGCGACAGAACTCGAAATTCCATCCTCATCATCTCGATGACGGCCTATCTACTGCCTCGCACGACCAAACCGTGGAATATACTATCGCCAGCGGTTTTTCCCGGACCAATACAACTTATGGACCTTCAAGAATGCAGCCAACTCCTTCGTAAAAGGCCGGCAACGCATCGGCAACCTGTAATTTCTCTGGTGTTGCGGCTGTTCATTGGTGACGGTGATCATTTATCTTTAGGTGAGCCCCATGCTCCTTTGCATCCTCTTCCATAAAAAAAAATAAAAACATACTTTACCTACCTTTATCATTATGATTTTCTTTAGCGCCGTCACTAGTGCTGGTCTCCGTATTGTCAGTGGCCATTTTGCGTCGGTCTTCAGTCACGCGTTCGTTCTTAGGGCATCTATCGTGCGTGGGCGCCGGCGTCGCGCCCTGCCTACCGGAGACCTGCTGCAAGAAGTAGGTCCCGTTGACGTCGCTCTTAATCGCATCTTTCAGTGGGAACGAGACGCATCCTAGAAACTCGCTCCGCCTGTAACAAATGAAAATAAAGTTAAGTAAAATAGCCTGAAGTTTATGGCTGTAGTACTCTTATGCTCGCCTAGTAAATTATAAAGATGCAGAGCAAAATATTTGAATTATACGTCATTGTTAACATTACTGTACAGTTATATAATAAGATTATATATTTAAAATTGACCCTGTCGCGTTATCTATAAGTGCTGTATGGATGAATGCGTGTGTTTTAATATCAAAAAAATTTAACACAGTTTGATCCGCCATTTTCCTTTCATGAAGTATCTCTAAACGTGAAGTGAACATCAAACAATTATATCATTAATATACATGTATTCTAATGAAAAAAATTATGTCAAATACTGTACACTCACAATTACATTTTAAAACTAATGAAGATCTAGGCCATCGACCTCTTCGAAGTACAAATAATATTAATCTTCCAAAACCACGCACAACCTACGGCAAAAAGAATATAAAATATGAGGGAGCACAGATTTACAATAAATTACCTTTAGACATAAAAATGTCCAATAAATTTACGGTCTTCAAAAACAAATTTAAAAAAATATAAGCAATAATGTTAAATTAATTTAATTACATCTGAACCCGGCCCTGGTATCGCGTATAGCGTAACATTGTTATTAATTGCCAACCACGTTATTTTTGATTTTTGTTTCTAGTTTCTTTGCAACGACAATAAGTGTCGCATTGTATACTGTACCCTCGATTTAGTTGTTATTGTGTATATCATATTATCAGTTATGTTTGTGTTCATCGACCTAAAAACCTTGTAAAACTCATTGAGTTATATGTACTACGTACTAGAGAAGCCATTCCGAACATTGACTATGTTCAAGTGAACTGTAGTGCAATCCCTACAAACTAAATATTGCGTAAATTAAAGATTTGTGAATTCCATAAAATAATTATTATTACATTTTATTTTATTTAGAAATATGTTTGTTTAGATTAAATTAAAGTCTTCGCGAATGCGCGACTACTACTCCCGCGCATGCGCGAAGACAGAGTAGGACACAATTTTTGTTTGGAATGGCTTCTCTAGTACGAAGTACATATAACACAATGGTAAAACATTTTTCTTATAAGTTTCTCGTGAAGTGAAATAATGTATTTCTTTAGAGAAATAAAAGTTTCTTTAACCATATATATTTAAAATTGACCCTGTCACGTTAACTATAAGTGCTGTATGGATGAATGCGTGTGTTTTAATATCAAAAAAATTTAACACAGATTGATCCGCCATTTTCCATTCATGAAGTATCTCTAAACGTGAAGTGACGGTGTAAGAATATCGTTTACCTAAAAATACAGAAAACCTGTATTTTTTAATCTTTAAAAAAGCACATACATACTTGAAAGAGTTGTCTTATTAAAAGATGTCACTTTTGGACACGGTTAATCTCGCTATTCAATATTGGAAATCCGTTTAAGTTTCTTCGTAAGTAGAACACGATGAGCTGATACAGATATTAATAAAATAAAACTTTAGTTCGGTAGCTGTTATGTCCGTAAATAAAACTTCTACCTCAGGAAAGAAAAGTTGTTCAATTAAATCACAGGCTCACAGGTATACATACACAAACGGCTGTCGCATGTAATCTTCAATTACTCGAGCGTCATACATTTGAATACTTACTTACAAAAAAATCGTTTTTACCAACATATTTTTAGACCATAAAACTGAATTTAGTTTTATAATACCTTTAAGTCTTTGTTATTTTCATATTACGTAAGGCAATCTGTCATTTCGCTTGTCCAAAAGGAAAATTTAAAAGTCAAAAAAGTCTCGTAACCTTCATTAACGAAGTAATTGACGGCTCCATGGTGCAGTGGCTTAGCCATCAGTTGTTGCGCTGGGGGCCGCGGGTTCGAATCCCGCACGGAACAAATTTGTATGGCCTACAAATAATTGTTCCTGGTCTGGATGTTTGTTCTTGTGCAATTTATGTTTGTAAACTGCCTCCACGACACAGGAGAAAATCCTAGTGTGGGGTAACGTTTTTTAAAGAGAAGAATAAGAATTCTTTTAAATAAATGTAAATGTATCAGACGGCTATGTAGTGTAGTGGCTGAGCTATGAGTTACGGCACTGAGGGACGGGGATTCGCATCCCGCAAAGAACGTGAGTATTTGTATGGCCTACAAATAATGGAGGCTAATAATTTTCTGCTCACTAGATGTCGCTAGTTTGATACTCAGGTAAAGTTTTTTATTACACAATGTCATTTAATTGAGAAGTTGTTTTTTAATAAAAGTTTATCAGTTTCTAGAGTATTATATTAATACACAAAACAATGCGTCAGTGGTGTGCTCTTTAATTATTTGTACATTTTTAACTTTTTTTTTCTACTTTTATGAATATCTGTGGTTTGGTTTATTTATTTTTAATGTTATTAATATAAAATATAACTAATAAGCTCAGAAAGAAACATCAAACTATATATTTTCCGAACAAATTAACTTCCCTGCTATGAAATCTGTCAAATATATAGAGGTATACCTCACTTTCTAGTGGCACCGCCCTGGTGTCAGAAAAAGTAGTGGCTGCCCGTGTTCCGGGTCGAGATGTTTGGCCTTGTTAAATTTATGTATGTAAATTCCCTCCACGATACACGAGAAAATCCTAGTGTGTGTGTGTGTGGAGGGAGATGGGGGGGGGGGGGGGTGTTAACAATTTACAAAAAATAAAGAGAGCAGAAATATCCAAGACTGTTAATTACGAATTGTACTCGTATAATTTTCAAAATGAAAGTTCTTCTTTACTGTTATAATTAATCAAAAGTCCACTGCTAAGCATAGGCTTCCCACATATATTGATTCATAGACATTGATATATTAAAATGGAGGATCAAAGTTTATAGAGAGGATATTTGTCATACTTGCCACGATTTGTTTTTCTTTTTAATTTTTTATGTGTCATTAAGAAGAAGTTGGCGCCCATTTGTCGCCTCCTACGACATACACGGGACGATTTGGGTTAAAGATCCTACACAGCCGTAAGACGGTTATCGTACTTCTTTGATAAAACTTCGCATGGTCAAGGTTAGAACTCACACACATACACACACACACACACACACACACACACACACAAACGCTCACGCCTGTCACCCAGAGGTGTAGGCAGAGACTACAAAATTCCATTTGGCACGATCCTGACACACCTCTCTCGCCTCCTTTACATCCATACATCTACGCATACATGCTCGTCGGTTAAGGGTACTCCTAATCTGGCCCATTTATATCGCCGATTTGGTTGATAAACCTTCGTCTGGGGCGTCCCTTTCCGACTCTGCTGTTCACTTCTGCAACATAAATTTGCTTTGTCACTATTTCCTCGTTCATTCATGTAGAAACATTGTCAAACCACTGAAGCATTGCTTTCTAAATCGTAGTCACAACGTCATCTTGCAATCCACACTTTTATCTTATCACACTATTTAGAACTTCTTTGAGAAAAAATTAAAACCAGTAATAATTACAGTAGTATGTTTCAAATGTCACTGCGGTCTGTGACCAACAATAATGCTTTCCACTCTCACTTTGATAAGATTCGTCGTCAACATCTCAGACCTCCATTGATGGTAATCTATACGCCCGTACAGGGTTGTCACATGCTCTGTAGATATATTGTAACAACTTTATACTTTGTGACATGCAATAAATGAATTATGAATTATGTTACAGTCAAAACTCATAACCGGTCAAAACCACTTTAGACTAAAAAATCAGACAAAAATAGTTTTGACTAAGGACGTTTGTCAATACCACTTCTTAACTGATTTTTGTAGTTAAAGTAGTTATGACTAAGGCCGTTGGTCAAATCCACTTTTAACTGCAAAAATACTGGGTAATAGTGATCTCGACCAAATTACATCGGTTAAAAGTGGTTTTGACCAACAATGTTAGTCAAAACTTCTTTTGACTTATACTTTTTAAATTTCTGTAAAAAAAGTTAGTTAAGTAAAGTTCTTCAATATTATATTTTACATCATTATAATGTACGCGGCTTTAGGGTGGCCCAATGGTCACCCTTGCCGCACCTTAATCTACTGTCACTGATATTGCGAGTTTTGACCGGTAGTCTGAAGTTTAAATCAGACAACACCTCTTTTGACTAACAACGTTGGTCAGAACCACTTTTGACTACAAAAATCAGTCAAGACTGTTTTTTACTTAGGTCATTGGTAAAAACCATTTTTGCCTGATGTTTACAATCAAAAGTGGTTTTGACCGGTAATGAGTTTTGACTGTGAGATATATATCTATAATAAAAAAAAATTAAGTGTCTGTTTGGAACGTCAAAATAACAGCTGTTTACTAAATGCATATGTAATTATATACGACACTTATAACAAAAAAAAACATTTTTAAAATTTTTTTCTGTCTGTGTGTCTGTTTGTTCCGGCTAATCTCCGAAATGGTTGAATCAGTTTTGACGGAACTTTCACTTGCAGATAGATGATGTTATAAGGAGTAACTTTTATTTTATAAAAATAGTTAGGGTTCTGCGCAAAAAGTTTAAGCCCATGAAATCCAATCGTAATTATTTTTACGCGGTTGAAGTCGCGGGGTACAGCTAGTAAATAATAAGTTAAAACTAAGTACGATATGGGTCGTAAAAATAGTTTGATCAATAAAATTTACAGTTATTCACGAATCAAATTTGACCTGTTCAAGGCATGACAAAGCGACTTTTGGCCGTTATTTGATACCACCAATTTATCATATAACCGTGACTGAGCTAAAATTCTGCATCTACATTATTCGTCATAATGCACCATGACTAAGGTTTATTAATAATACTTTGTTATGTAGCTCATGAGGTGACCATGAGCGGATACTTTGGCACATAACACTTTTAATTTGGAAAACGGATACAAGTGATCGTAGAAAGTAATAATGTTCTCAAGATTGAATTTCGGTTATGGTCAGCCTCAACACAGAGCAGCCATCTGCGAAGTGGAGTAGTAGTGCACGAAATTGTCGGTA